GGGGAGAGAGAAGAAGAGGGAGGGGGAGGGGGAAGGGGAGGGGAAGGGGGAGGAGAGAGGGAGATCTTAAATTTCATTTAAATTAAATTTTTTATTCATGTACTTTTAAACTTTTTTTTTAAAGATTTATTTATTGAGTTTTCTGTCTGAGTGTTTTATCTGGGTGAGCATCTGTGTACCCTATGAGTGCCTGGTGCCTGAGGAGGTCAGAAGAGAACATTGGACACCCTGGAACTAAAGTTATATATGGTTGTGTGCCATCGTGTGCGTGCTGGGGACAGACCCCAGGTCCACAGGAAGAGCAGCCACTGCTGTCTTAACAGTGGAGCCTTTGCCCCAGCCCCAAGCTTCAAGGCTGGTTGCAGGCGTGTCTCTGTGGTAACACACAAAAGCAAGCCTGGAGGAGGCCCCAGCACCAAGTAAGGTAGAAACCAGCAGACGCCTGCAGCTGCTCTTTTTGAAATCCCTCAGGTGCTGTATTCTATCTGTCAAGCTCAAACAGCCAAATGAATACTGTGATCCCCTCAACAAACAGGATAATTACACCTAAAGGGAACTCAGTGTTCAACTTCTCTGCTCTCTGTCAGGGAACAGTCTTCAGGCCGAAAGCATCCAGGGGAAGGAAAGCAAATGGTGGACACACTCAGTACACACTGTCTACATTTGCACTCTGTCCCCAGGGAAGACCTTGCCTCTGAACCTCACCCCAGGGGAAGGCCTTGGCATTCCTCCATGGCCCGAGGCTCTCAAGCAGCGGTTCTCCACCTGTGGATCACGATCCCGTGGACAAACCTCCAACCCCATAAATATTTACATTATGGTTTATAACAGTAGCAAGATTATGCTTACGAAGTAGCGACGAGAATTATTTTACGGTCGGGATCATCAGGACAAGAGGAGCTGTGGCAAAGGGATGCAGAGTTAGGAAGCTGAGAGCTACGGCTCTAGGGTCTTTGACACGGCAGGCGGCTCAGGTCAACAAGCATGTATTCACACTGGGCTGGGTCCACTCTCAACAGAAGATGGTTTCTCCCACTCCCAGCATTCCTTCCTGGCCTATAGTGTGTGTGTGTGTGTGTGTGTGTGTGTGTGTGTGTCTGTGGGTGTGTCTGTGGGTGTCTGTGGGTGTGTGGGTGTGTGTCTGAAGCCTCATAAGCTTTTCCCCCAGTCCATGTTAATATGTCTGTCTGTCTGTCTGTCTGTCTGTCTGTCTGTGTTGTGTTTAGGCAATCATGTTGGTGAGGATTCCTAGGAGACACAATCTTAATTGTGTGTCTCTGTGTCTATGTACGTATGTACAAGTGAGTGCAAATACCCATGGAGACCCCCTGGAGCTGGAGCTATAGGTGGTTGTGAGCCACCAGACGTGTGTGCTGCAAATTGAACTCAGGTCCCCTGCAAGAGCGGTATGGGCTCTAACCACTGAGCCATCCCTCCAGCCCTAATGATGTCACTCTTTGTCTTTTGTTTGGTTTTGTTTTTATATCTTTAAATGAAAAGAAATTGCTTTGTCTTAAATAAGTCCAAAAGCTTCAGGAAATATTATTTGTCATAGCTCGTCACTGGAAATCACATGAAGAAAAAGAAAATTCACCAGGACCAGGGGAAGAGAGATTGGAACACCAGCCTCTGACGTTCAGTGTCACCCACCAGATTCGACTGACACTCTCCAACCACGAGCAACTTACGTTTTATTGTTGTATGGCCTGTTCTGACAGATCTCTGGGGACAGGTAGTAAGGTGTCCCAGCACATGTTTGAGCCAGTTCCATAGAGCTAGGAAATCAGAGTAAATAAAAAAACATGTTTATTGGGAAAGGCAAGGAAAATTGTAAACATGAATGACAAAACTACTTATACACATATTAGAAGAAAGTAAGACATTTCATATTAACCACAGACTAGCAAAGACAATAGGTTTTTACACTTACAATTCAACCCCCAGTCATAACCCCAACACTTGGGAGGCAGAGGCAGGCAGATCTCTGTGAGCTGAAAGCCAGATCTGTCTATATAATGACTTAATTCCAGGACAGCCAGGGACACATAAAGAGGTCCCTGCCTCAAAAATAAAACAAAAGCAACCCCTAGAATTTATATATACATACATAAGTAAACACACACACACACATATACATATGGAAAGAGAGAGACAGAAACAAAGATACACACATAGACAGACAGACAGAGCAAGAAAGCCAGAGATGGTGGCCCATGAGTTGATGCTGCTAGTACTGAAGAAGTAGCGACATAAGGATAAGAAGTTCAAGGCCAGCCTCAGCAACATAACAAATTAAAGGATAACCTGGGTGTAGCGGGAGGTTTTAGAAAAGACAGCAGCCGCCCGGCTGCCAGCTCTAAGTTCTCGCACTAATGGTGGCACCCACCGCGCAAAGACGACCACCAGCTCCCGGTTCTGGCGCCATGTTGACAGAATTGAGCATTACCTGCGGACTACCTTGGCTCAGCTAGGTGTTATCATCTGGACAGGCTCTACAGCGGGGCCACGCTAGCCCCACGTCCCGGTCGTCCATGTCCTGGTCGTCCACCCCACGGTCAGCCACCACACCACCCAACCACCAAGTAAACCAAAACTCTAGATGGTTAAAGTTAACCAGCGGATTTATATATCAGCAAATACTCAATACACAAGATGCCCACACAATTAGGAAGGTTATCCAATTACCCTAACCTTCAGATTTCATATCTACCTATTTACCCGAGGCCACGCGGATCCACTGCCCCGCAGCCATTTTTGCCTCCCTCGCCTCTCTCCGCCCATTTCTCCACTTTCCTCCCTCGGCCTCCCTTAGCTCCGCCTCACTTTTCCCTGTCCAATCATAGGCCTCCTGCTGCAAATAGATTGATCAAGCACATTTCTGCCACATTGGGTTACATGAGACCCCTTCACACAGGTATACGCAGGCTAGAAAGGTGGTGAGAAGCCCTTGTTCTCACAGAGGACCCAGGTTCAGTTCTCAGCACTCACAGCATAGCTCACGGTCATCCCTAGCTCCAGTCCCAGAGGATCTAGTGCCTTCTTCTGACCTCCACAGGCACCAGGCATGCATACGGCATACGTACAGGCATGCAAGCCAAACACTCATACAGATAAAATAAATGAATCGAAGACACATTAAAATCTGTGTACATCTATACAACTATGTCTATGTATAGTTTTTAACATAAACACATCTTACAGCTAGGTATGCGAGTGAGTGGTAGAGCGATTGCCCTGAGCCATAGCGTCACAGAGTAGATGATAATAGACTACTGATAATAACAATAGTAGTAATAATAACTACATATATATTATGACTTAAAGATTCCACAAGGAATACAACTGTTGTTAATAAAACTCTTAGATATGTCAAGATTTCTGTTTTTCTAGCTATCAGTGTAACGCAGTCCTGTGTTCTAAAATTTGGAAAATACAAAAACAAATTAGGTTGGGGGGTAGCTCAGTGATAAAGCACTTGTGTACCATGTGTAAGGCCCTGGTATTAAACCCCAGTACCATCAAGGGAAAAAATTTAAATGAATAAAAAATTAAGTCACCCAGAGTCTGAATATCCCAAAAACCTATTGCTAAACTAGATACATTCCCCTCCCCCCACACACACACACCTGTTTCCACACATAGGTTTTGTATGGCTGTCATCATGCAGTTTCCTTAATTCAGAATTCCACTCTGCTTATGTCACATAGAAAAATATTTCCTTGTGATATCAAAAGTCCATAAAACCAAGTGGGTTGTGTGTGTGTGTGTGTGTGTGTGTGTGTGTACAGTCTAATATATTCAGGAATGTGATTTTGCTAGGCTTTAGAAAATCCCCACCATTTGGTTAGTCACAATTTATCTCGATAATACTTTCATCACTTACGTGTATATGTGCACACATGTATGTGCATGTGTGTGCACACATAGGTGCATGTGTGAGAGGGTGACCACACTCTGAAGCTGGAGTTACAGGAGGCTGTGAAAAGCCAGAAGTGGGTGCTGGGAACCCCACTCAAGTTCTCTACAAGAGGAACAAGTACGCTTAACCCCTGACTCATGTCTCAAACCCAAACCTTCAGAATTTTAACTGCAGACAGTCAAACAATTTAACATATTCATAGTCACCCGAAATTGTGGAGATAATGAAACTTTTCTGTCTTAATTCATGATACCTCAAAATGAACACTTTTTCAATTTTGAGTAGAAAGAAAACTGGAATTTTACAAGGACTCACTTATTCAGTGTTCTTGCTGTTCCAAAGTCCCCAAGCTTTGCAACCATTCCATTCTTGCAAAGAAAAATATTCTAAAAGAGTGAAGAAAAAATGTATTAAGAAAGGCTAAGATTGACTGTGTCTGAGGTCATCTGTATGAGCTCTTACCTGAGATTTTATGTCCCTGTGTAATATCTTCCTGCCGTGAATATGCTTCAGTCCTAGAGAAATCTGTACAAACCAACACAGAATCTGTGGAAGGGAACAGAAGGAATCTATTGAATAGTCCACTGGTCACCAACACAGCTGTGTCTGACATCCTGGGCTGAGCTGGGACCATGTTGATGTCCCAGAGCTCCGCAGACCTGGCCCCAACCTCACCTGAACAGTACAAGAGAGCTTGCCCCTATGGTGTGAGCCTGGGAGAGCCGGCCTTGCCCCTCAACAGTTGTGGTGCTGGAGAGAGTGGCCCTGTACCTCACCTGGAAAGCACAGTAGAATTGGCCCTGGTGGTATGGGGACAGATGAGTGGACCCAAGGACATAAGCTTGGGTGAGCTGGCTCCATCCCCAACCTGGGCAGCTTTATAGAGCTAGCCCTGGAGGCCTGGCCATGAGAGAGTCAGCCTCAAGGTCATAAGAATAGGTGAGCTGGCCCTGCCTCTCATCAGGACAGTTCAGAAGACCTGGCCATGGTGGGATGAGTGTGGGAGAGCTGGTCCCAATGGCATTAATCTGAGAAAGCCGATTTATACCCTTCCAGAGTGTTGCCACAGGCAGGAAAGATGGCTCCATCTCTCACCTGGGCAAAGCAGGAGAGCTGGTCCTGGTGGGAAGGGATCCGGAAAGCTGGTGGCCTGACCAACTCAGCTACTATCCATCCTAGATCTAGGGCTTTGAGATGGCCCACCCCAACATCTACCCATCCATGAACTGTTGGAGCTTGAGAAGGGGCCTGTCCTACAGAACCAACGGTGCAGGGTCTCCATGACACAGGTCAATGACAAGATATCCAAGAGGAATCCTGGTGAGGGTCCAGTATTGATGGTGTAGCAGAAGCCAGAGGCCTTGAACCAGACCAATGACTCATTAAAATGAACATTTGCAAGTAAACCTGTTTGGTAAAAGGGTATACAATGTGTACACTGTGACACACTGAAGCTTCCACTACAAGATGTTCTGTTTGGGTTTTTGGGGGGAGGGTGAGAGAGGTGCAAGGTAAAAGGGCAGATATGGAGGGATGGGGAGACGAGTGAGACTGAGATGAGTTCTATATTTTGATCAGAAGGCAGCTAGAAGACTGACTTCTAGGCACTTAGGAGGAGGATCTCGAAGCCCACTCCTACGCTTCCTCCAATAAGGCCACACCTCCTCCAACAAAACCACACCTCCTAACACTGCCACTCCATAGGCCAAGCATATTCAAACCATCACATTTCACTCCCTGGCCCCCACAGGCTTCTTTAGACACATGAGTCTACGGGGCCATAACTAGCCATGCAGAATACATTAGTCCAACTTCAAAAGTCCTACAGTCTGTAGCAATCTCAACAATGTTAAAAGTCCAAAAGTTCAAAGTCTCTTCTGAGATTCATCCAATCACTTAACTACAATACTCTATATAATCAAAATTTAAAAAACAGCAAATCACATACCTCCAACATCACAACATATACATCGCCATCCCGAAATGACATAGTGAGGAAATACTGGACCAAAGCAAGACCAAAAACCAGTTAGACAAACTCTAAACTTGACAACTCCATGTCTGATGTCAAAGCGGTCTTCAGATCTCCAACTCCTTGCATCTCTGTTGACGGCAACAAACTCCTTTCTCTTGGGCTGGTTCCACTCCCTGTTAGCAGCTTTCCTTAGTAGGTACCCCATGCCTCTGACATCTCTAACATCTTGGGGTATCCAAGGCAACTTGAACTTTACAACTTCTTCTTCCAATGGCTGAAATTCACACATGATCTTTTGGGCTTAGGTTGCTTTTCCAGCTCTGCCCACTCTAGGGTCTGGTTGACTCCACTCCACTGCTGCTGTTCTTGATGACCATCCCGTGGTACTGGCATCGCCAATTCGCTGGAGTCTCCTGCTGCAACTAGGCTTCACCAATAGCCTCTCATAGGCTTTCTTCATAGGAGGCGTGGCCTTGTTAGAGGAAGTGTGTCACTGTGGGGGTGGGCTTTGAGCCTCCTAAGCTCAAGCTCTGGCCAGCGGGGAAGGGAGATTCAGTCTTTTCCTGGTTCCCTTTGGAACAAAATCTAGAACTCTCAGCTCCTCCCACACCATGCTGCCTGGATACTGCCATGCTCACCTTGATGATAATGGACTGAACCTCTGAACCTGTAAGCCAGCCCCAATGAAATGTTGTCCTTTATAAGAGTTGCCCTGGTCACAGTGTTTGTTCACAGCAGTAACACCCTAACTAAGTCAGGCATATAAAAAAAGGACTACATCTTTCTCAGAGACACTTTATTAATCCTGTTCATTGCTCCTTTATTTGTAATAGCCAGAAAAACCCGAGATGTCCGTCAAAGGATGAACAGATAAAGAAAATGCAGTATGTTTACACAATGGGATATTTATTCAGCTATTAAAAAACAAAATCATTAAATTCACAGGCAAATGAATGAAACTAGAAAAAAAATCATCCTGAGTAAGGTAACTTAGACCCAGAAAGACACTATGGTATGTGTTTGTGCCGGAAGCCTGCCTGGCCTGGAATGGGTTAAAGTAGAACACAGTATCAGATGCAGGTCAGGAGATTGAGGAGCTCTGGCCTTTTAAGTCTCTGTTCTGTACTAAAAACTTAACTCTTTGTTCATGTTCTGTGCTTGATAAGTGCTGGAGAAACTTAACTCTTTCTTTTTTTAATTATTTCTTTATTTTATGTTTATGAGTACACCATAGCTGTCTTCAGACACACCAGAAGAGGGCATCAGATTCCATTACAGATGGTTGTGAGCCACTATGTGGTTGCTGGGAATTGAACTCAGGACCTCGAGGAAGAGCAGTCAGTGCTCTTAACCACTGAGCCATCTCTCCAGCACTGAAACTTAACTCTTGTTTACTTTATAAACTTACTGTATAATTCTCTGGCAATTAACATATGCTGTGTAGCAGCAGGGAACTCACTGGAGGATTTACTCCTAAGGTTCCTTTCTCTATTGCCTAGAAGCTTTACTTCTCACTGCCCAGGCAAGAGGGAGGCTTGGAGCAACTTTTATTGAACCAGGAAAAGAAAGTCACGCCCTCAGAAAGAAAAAAACCTTTACACGCAATGATGCTTACACACATTCATTACTCAATTATGAATTACACATTTATACACATATTCACACACACACACATTCGTCTTTCTGTTGGACCCAGCAATCTGTCTCATCAATTTACATACCTATACACACATATCTATACCCACATATGCAAATATACATATTTGGTGGGTGGGGCAAAAACCCAAGCACCAGCACAGAAAGAACTCACTCATTCTGGATAAAAAATAAGCTCCAACCTTTATTGCATAGAGAAAGAAAAAGCTTGTATCTTTACCTTTCTATTGCTAAATGAAAGAAACCCAAGCCTGTGAGAAAAAGCCCTGTCCTTGTCAGTAAGAAGAAGGCGCCCTCTCTTATATTCTGCTGTTTGCTGTCGTTGAGTCTGCCTTTATTTTGCTTCTGCTCTTCTTCTCTTCTCCTTCTTCCCTTAATGTCACTGTCCCTAGCTTTTGTACTTATTTAGGAGAATAGATCACATGGTATTCCAAGCATCTGTTTTTCTTCTTCCTCTTCGAAAGTTCACAACAAGTTCAAACATAAATTCAAATCACAAATTGAATAAGAAGTAACACCTTTACTTTGTTTATCTTTTCTTACAAGATGTTGACGTGTGTCTCCATTAAGACTACTTATCTGACTAAACATTCACTGTCTGCCGCTAGCTCCACAGATTCAATAAAAGAGGCGGGGCAAGGGATAGACTAGAGAGAAGAACAGCTAAAATGAAGGTCCATTGTGGGGGTCATATGGAAACCTGATACAGAAGAAGCTTCCTAAGATATATACATACATGAAAGCAATCTAAGTAGAGTCACAGAACAATGGGGGAGAGAGGCTCAACCATCATCAAACGGAGCTTCTAGTACATCTAACTGAGTTGTTTGTCAAAGGTGTACCATGGAAACCCCCGAACAATCCAGGCTATCACCAAGGCTATTGGTTGCTAGCTACAAACTGATTGCAAGGTCCTATTGCAGAACTCAACGCCTATACAAACTCATTGTACACGGAGAAATTGATCTGGTGCCTACCTAGATCACCTCTAACTAGTGTTCAAAGTACCAGAAGGTACTCTGTATGCTACCAGAAGAGAAAGGTAAACACCCACCAGGTTACAAACCTTTCTATCTACAATGGTGACTCAACTGCAAGATATGCTGTACAATCGTGGCACAAAGCTTACGGGAGTAACCAACCAATATCTGATTTAAGGCCCACTCCGTGAGATGGAGGCCATCTCCAGCACTGCCTGGATGACCAAGTACCTCGAATGGCTAGGCCGGGGATCTAGGAGAAAACCAAATACTACTGTGCTGCTAAGGAATAGGGTAATAAGATGACTCTCCGTGACATACTGCCATTCTCAAAGATCAGTTTCTTCCTCAGCCACCATCAAAGAAGCTTCCTTCTGCAGTACAAAGGGACAATACAGAGATCCACAGCCAGACAATGTACAGAAAGGAAGAGACTTTCAAACACTCAGTCCTAAATAGGGTGTCTCTACCAAATCCTAAGCGGAGGTCTTGTGCACCGTGTATCAGATGCTGAGTTCTGTGCCCCGAGATCAGGTTGAAGTCTGGGCATGGACATTGTATTGACAAATGTACTTTAAAGAATACTCCCTAATAATCTCTGATTGGGTAGTAAAAGGCTAGAGCCTGTGACTGGGCAGCAGAGAGAGGAAGGCAAGACTTGAGTGTTGAGTCTCAGGTAGGGACCATGAGGGAAGGAGAAAGTTGAAGAACCACACCATGAGGTAGGATGGACAGACCATGAGCACATGGCCAAGAGAAGCTCACCCTGAGGATACACATAGAACAGAGCAACCAGGCAAGAGTCAAATTTCAAGTAACTCAGTGCCTATGGTTGGGATGTAGGTTAGAATAGCTCAGAACCTGCTCAGCACAGTGCCAGCAGCTTGTAAATAAAATACCTGGTTTCTGTCTTTTATTCAGAAGCTAAACAGAATAGAGTAGGGCAGAAACTCACCATAAAAATACTTCAATCCAGCATGACCAATGCACATATGAACTTGCAGAGACTATGGCAACATGCACAGGGCCTGTACAGGCCTAAACTAGATAAGATCCCAGTACTAAGAGGGGAAGTGGATATAAGCCTCCATCCTTAGCCCAGAAGCTATCTCCAATTGATAACCACTTGCAAATGAAAAATTAATTTTCTCTAATGGAATCTCACTGGGGAAACAAACCATTCTTAATGGCAAGCTCCATGCCCAGCAGTAGATGGCCAACACAAAATGAACTCAGTGTCATCTTTGGTTGTTTTTTGTCTCATAGGTTTGTTGTTGTTGTTGTCATTGTTGTTTTGTTTTATTTAACCTTACAGGTTCTTTGCATATATATATTTTTTTTTTTTTTTTTGGTTGTGAGCCTAACCTTTAATGTAATGGCCAAGCCAATTCCCTAGCCTAAATGTGAAACATTTTAAAGTTACATTCTTAGTTATTTGTGAGAAGTGTCTCACACATGTGCCGAGGTGGGTGTGTGGCCCTCAGAAGACAACTTGCAGGAGCTGGTTCTCCCTTCTACCATATGGGCTCTGGGAACTGAACTAGGTCGTCAGCCTTGATAGTAAGTGCCTTCCTACTGAGCCATCTTTCTGGCCCCATCTGATGTTTAATTTTTTATTTTAGATTTTTTTATTTTATGTATATGAGTGTTTTGTCTGCCTGTATATAAATATGTACACCATGTGTATACCTGGTATCTGTGGAAGTCAGAAGAGGGCATTGGGTTACCTGGAACTAAAGTTAGAGATGGCTGTGAGCCACCATGTATGTACTGAAAACTCAACATAGGTCTTCAACCAGAATAACAAGTGCTCTTGATACCCTGAGCCATCTCCCCAGCACCAGCCTCATGATTCTTTCAGAGAACATGAGGTATATAGGCAAGAGATACTTTCTCAAGAAAATATATTCTCAAAAATAGACTCTATTTCAATACAACCATCAAGAATATTCACGATCTTATGATTCACACTTTTCTACCAGAAACATGCTTTGCATGGCCTAGCATGTAGAACATTATCAGGGAACATTAGAAGTAGATTTACCTGGTCTTCACTGAATAACACTCCCTGCTGCCTCTGGATCCTTTGCATGAGATCCCCTCCGTCACAGTATTCCATTACAATAAACAGCCTGCTGTTCTCTGCAAGCAAACAACATCAGTTGGTGCTGAGATCCTTTGGATACCATCAATCATTTGCTTTTCAAAACCTAGATGTGAAGACTGCAACAGAAAAATGCAGTCTACAGTAGTGGGGTTGGCCCTAAGATGGGCTGGGTTCTCATCCCATCGTACCACTAAGATGGACGGACTGAGTTTCGATCCCATGTTACCCTTACATTTTCTTTTAGCTTGTTTTACCTCATTGAACTTTGATAAAGGCTATTTCTAGGTACCCCAGAAAGTTAAAGTCAGTTATCAGTCTGACAGGATCTAGGATTGCTTGGGAGACAAACCTTCTGTGAGAGTTTCTAAATTGGATTAGTTAAAGAGAGAAGACCCAACCTCAGTGAAGATGGCACAATCCCAAGGGGTGGAACCCTTAACGCAATGAGAGAGCTGAGCACAGAGAGATGGTTTGAAGACACTGAGTAAGTGGCATTTGTTTTTGCAGCAATAGAAAGGAAGCTTAACAGTGTGGAGATTTTTGTTTGTTTAATGTCTAGAGCTCTAGTTTTAAAACATGTTTAGCACCTAAGAGTTAATATTTACTGATAGAATCCATTTTGCCTTAGGAAAACACCACTAAATTCTCCTTATTTTTCTTTTTTTTTTTTTTTTGTTTTTTTTTGTTTTTTTGTTTTTTTGTTTTTTCGAGGCAGGGTTTCTCTGTGTAGTCCTGGCTGTCCTGGAACTCACTCTGTAGACCAGGCTGGCCTCGAACTCAGAAATCCGCCTGCCTCTGCCTCCCAAGTGCTGGGATTAAAGGCGTGCGCCACCACCGCCCGGCTTCTCCTTATTTTTCTTATTCTGCTTTAAATTCATAAAACCTCATCTCTCATACTAAATAGTTAATCTTGAGAAAATCAAAAGGATTATCCGGGTGGGCCAGACCTGGTCATATGATTTATGTAAATCTGAGTCTGGAAGTCAGAGACAGAAGTGGTTATAGATTTCCAGCTCCATTTCCTGGCCATGTGATCAAGCACAAAGGTTTACCTCTCCTGGTAGAGAGAGGCCCCTAGTTAACAGCCAGCAAGAAAGTGGAAACAGACATCCAATCACGGTTCTTTCAGCTGTAGATGAGCTTTTGTAGGTCCAGCAAAGCCTGTATTTACAGGTTCTCATAGTCAGGTGCCTCCAGGCTCCGAGGCCTTGGCTAAGCTTGTGTTTTAAGTACCAACAAGCTGCCAAGAAATGTACAGGGGCAAAGAAGGTTATCTATACTTCGAGTGGTCTTAGCTGTGTAGCTCTATCCACTGTAAAATGTATCTTCCAAATTCTATCTTACATGGAATCAACATGTACTCTGGTCTATTAAAATGGTCCAGTCAATTCACTCATCCAGCAACTGCATATCGAGCATCTATCAATCGCATGACAAGGACCAAAGTGTATATAAAAGTCCCTAAAATCATTAAATTTATGTTTCTGTGTGTGTGTGTGTGTGTGTGTGTGTGTGTGTGTGTGTGTTTTGCTGGAGATCAAACCTAGAACCTCGTACAAGCTGGACAATTATTCTATCACTGAGCTATATTCTCAACCCTTAAGTTTCCTGTTTGAAGAAAAAAATTAGACAAATTTGTAATAATGTATATTCATAAAGAGACACACACGTTAGTAGAAAAGTGCCCTGGGGAGTTATTGAAGGCACAGGACTTGGGAAAGTCTGAGGGTGAGAATTCAGCTAGACAAAGGACTTCAACAATAACTCAAATGTCGAGAAAGAGAAAGATGGGAACAGTGGATAGAAGTGTGGCACTTTACTCCCTGACCGCCTTTCAAAATTATTCAGAGTTCAGGGTATAATCCAACTACACAGTAAACTGAGACCAGCCTGGGATATGGAAGTCCTCATCTCAAAAGGCAAACCTCACCAGACAGGAAACGGAGACAATTCAACTAGACAGGAAAATGAACGTGCTTATAGAATAATAAATACACAGCTCTTGGGAACACATATTTTCTAAAGATTTTTAGTTTATCAGGATAACTCAGTGATAGCCAAGTCTAACCTTGAAATGAGCTGAAGAAGGTTACAATATTGGGATGCTTCATCTTAGCCAGAAGAATCACTTCGTTCTTTGAAGCCTCTTTTTCCTGTAAGGGTATCAATGTTATATTGAGAGACAGCATGTTTTGTACAGGTAATTTGCTTACAGAGGCGAGTCCTGCTTGCTCCCTTCTGAAACCCCCCAAGACGCCAGTGGCTTTAATGTTGCTTTTAAAATCTATCTCTTGAAGGCAGGGCCACTATGGAATGAACACAGTGCCTCATATCTAACCATTAGTTTGTCAGTGATAATTATAGTCAAGAAACTTAATAACGCTGGGGAAATGTTATCATACTGAAAGCTGGAAACTGGTTACACTCGATGAATGACTGTATTCCCAACTACCTGGAGACAGAGCATCCTGGGTATTCCCAGCTACCTGGAGACAGAGCATCCTGGGCAACATAGTGGGGTTCTATTTCAAGAAGTAAATGCAAATTATAAATAAATTAGCAACTAGATCTTTATTCATTCTCTAAACATCTTTATCCTCCAGCATAAAGAAATTCTTCCTAAAACATAACATTCCAAGAGCAATCACTGCCAAGGAGAAACTGGCTCTAAGCTACAAAAGCAAAACTCCATAGTCTGAATTTCTTCATTTTAAGAAATAAGCTGTACATGTCTGTCAAGCCAGCATTTTAGTAGTCTGAGGCAGGAGGATTCTGGATCTAAGGATGTCCGGGTTGGTCTTACAAGAGGAGATCCTGTCTCAAAACAAAAACCAAAGCTGGTTTCTTGAAGCTGGCAAGAAGGCTTGGCAGGTAAAGGCACTTACTGCCACACCCAGTGACCTAAGTTCAATTCCTGGACCCCACATGGTCACATGGTGGATAGAAAGAACCGACGCCTGCAAGTTATCCTCTGACCTCCTCCACATGTGTGGCGGATCGCACATGCATGCATATGCACACAGCAAGTGAATGAGTAAATGTAAAAAGAAAACAATCTTGCATTTTAATTTTAGCTTTGTAATTTATTATTCTATTTGTCATCCAATAATAATACTTTTAATTGTTTTGGTGCCTATGCACATATCCCATTTCTGTCTCCTCTGTACCCTCTCCCCTCTCTGGAAGGGGTGTGCCTCCCTATGTAACTCAGGCTGGCCTGGCCGGGAACTGATGGTTCTCTTGCCTTAGCCTCAGAGTGCTGGATTACCTTCCTCCTTTCTCCCTAACAGCCTCCTTCTGTGTGTGTGTGTGTGTGTGTGTGTGTGTGTGCATATATATATGTGTATGTCCAGCCTTGTACATGTTAAATACATACTCCACCACTGAAATAGCTCAGCCAATGTTTTTTTTTTTGTTTGTTTGTTTTTTTGTTTTTTGTTTTTTCCGAGACAGGGTTTCTCTGTGTAGCCCTGGCTGTCCTGGAACTCACTCTGTAGACCAGGCTGGCCTCGAACTCAGAAATCCACCTGCCTCTGCCTCCCAAGTGCTGGGATTAAAGGCGTGCACCACCACCACCCGGCCTCAGCCAATGTTTTTTAACTGACATTCTCAATCCTAGTTTCTATTCTAAGATCCAGTGTCACATGACTTATTCTCAATTACATGATCAGAACATGAATTTCAGATTTCAAAATGCATTTTATTTTATTTTATTGTTTTTTTTTTTTTGAGACAGAGTTTCTCTGTGTATCCCTGGCTGTCCTGGAACTCACTCGGTAGTCCAGGCTGGCCTCGAACTCAGAAATCCACCTGCCTCTGCCTCCCAAGTGCTGGGATTAAAGGCGTGCGCCACCACCGCCTGGCTCAAAATGCTTTTTAAATTTTAAATTTACTCTGAAAAATGAAGCTACCAGAGTGGTAGAGATGGATGGAGGGGGAGGAGGAACAGCAGAGTGAGGGTATCTCAGTTAGGGTTTTACTACTGTGAACAGACACCATGACCAAGGCAACTCTTATAAGGACAACCTTTAATTGGGGCTGGTTTAAGGTTCAGAAGTTCAGTCCATTATCATCAAGGTGGGAACATGGCAGTGTCCAGGAAGTCCAGAAGGAGCTGAGAGTTTTACATCTTCATCTGAAGGCTGCTAGAAGACTGGCTTCAAGGCAGCTAAGACAAGAGTATTAAAGCCCGCACCCACAGTGACATACCTACTCTAACAAGGTCACACCTCCTAATAGTGCCACTCCCTGAGCCAAGCATATTCAAACCACCACAGAAAGAAAATGAGAACTTGCCAAGCAGTGATGGTGCATGCCTTTAATCCTAGCACTTGGGAGGCAGAGGCAGGCAGATTTCTGAGTTCGAGGTCAGCCTGGTCTACAGAGTGAGTTCCAGGACAGCCAGGGCTACACAGAGAAACCCTGTCTCGAAAAACAAAAAACAAACAAACAAAAACAACAACAACAAAAAAAAGAAAATGAGAACTTGAATTAAGTTGGTTAGAGGATGGGGAGGATCAAGTGTATTGTATGACAAAGAAAAGAATTTGCTTTAACCTTGTGTCTAATGCACTCTAGACAAGTGGTCTACCATTGAGATACATACCCAGTATGCTTTTTGCTTTGCGTTTTTATTTTCTAATGGTTTGTTTATGTATTTTTGTATGTATTCCTATACACCAGAAGAGGGCGTCAAATCCCATTATAGAAGATTGTGGTTATAGAACCATGTGGTTGCTGGGAATTGAACTCAAGAAGAGCGGCCAGCACTCTTAGCCACTAAGCCATCTCTTCAGCCTCTGATTGTTATTTGTGAGGCAGGGCCTCAGTACGTTGTACAGGCTGGCCCTGAACCTTCCTGAAGCCAAGGCAGGGCAAGCCTTGAATGTGCAATCCTCTTTGCTCAGACTCTGAGGTAGCTGGGATTGCAGGTGCATGACATCAGGCCAAGAAGTTTTATGTTTTTATGAAGTCAGCCTAGCTCCCTTTTCCTTTATACCTTACAGGGAAAGTCTGGGGCCATGGCTGGGACACTGTTCAAATGACTGTGTGAATGCTGGACCAGTGAGAATGCCAGCTAAGGATCCAGGTGACCCAGTGCATGCACAAAAGGATGGAGCTAATTCAAAGAGGGAGGATCAAGCATCTAGCAGGTAATTGTCTGGAGTTCAATTCCTGGAACCTCACCTCCCTTCACATGTGTGCTGTGGGGTGTGTGTGTGTGTGCATACACATGTGCAAGCATAAATACACACCCTGAAATAGTTTTTTTTTTTTTTTCATTTGAGGCAGGATCTCTCTACATAGCCCTGGCTATCCTGGCACTCACTATGTAGGACCAGGCTGGCCTTGAACTCACAGAGATCTGCTTGTCTCTGCCTCTAGAATGCTGAGATTAAAGGTGTGCAACACTATGCCCAGCCTAAATAAATAGGTTTTTTGTTTTTGTTTTGGTTTTTCGAGACAGGGTTTCTCTGTGTAGCCCTGGCTGTCCTGGAACTCACTCTGTAGACCAGGATGGCCTCGAACTCAGAAATCTACCTGCCTCTGCCTCCCAAGTGCTGGGATTAAAGGCGTGCGCCACCACTGCCCAGCTATAAATAGTTTTCTTAAGAGAATGGTAACTGAGCATGATGGTGCACACCTGTAACCTCAGCAGTGGGGAAGCAGAGGCAGGAGGATTCTGAGTCTGAGACTAGCCTGTTGAGATACCTAATCTAGACTCTGCCTCATAAAACAAGAAAGAAAGCTAGGAAGGAAGGAAGGAAGGAAGGAAGGAAGGAAGGAAGGAAGGAAGGAAGGAGAGAGGGAAGGAGTGAAGGAAAGAAGGGTAGAAGGGCAAGAGGGAGGGAAGGGAAGGAAAAAAGGGAAGAGAAAGGGGAAGTGAGGGGAGGAAGAAACCCAGGAAGAGAGGGAAAGCACACGGTGGGTCTGAAGGCATCTAGGTTTCATAATGTTTGTCCAGCATGAAGACAAGTCCTTTGTTCAATGAGGGGAGAGGAAACAAAGAAAATGAATGCAATACATGTTCCTGGGATGCGTTTGAAGGGGATGAGAGGAGAGAGTGTCAACTGACCCTTAAAATACACAATTGTGCAAAAGGTATTTGCTTGCATGCTATATTAAAGTTACAGGGGCTGCCCACCTGCTCAGAGAAGAGGAAGGGGGTGGGGGAAGGATTGTGGGAGGAGGTGACCGGGAGGGGGTCAGTGAGCAGGATGTAAAGTGAATAAGTAAAAATAAATAGATAAATAAATAAATAAATAAATAAATAAAAAATGGGGGCTGGAGGGACGACTCAGCAGTCACTGCTTTTGCTGAAGGCCTATGTCAGTTCTTAGCACCCCACCAGGTGTCTCAGAACTGCCTGTAAATTAAGTTCAGGGGCTTCCAATGACCTCTGACCTCTGCAGGTACTTGCACTCACATGGTGCCCATGGACTCACACATGCACACACATATACACATAATAAATAAATAAATTTTAAAGCTATAGATCCCACTTAAAATTATCTAAAATTCGAACTTAACTTTACCTTTGTCAAGCTGATCTCTTTTATGACACAGTGCCGGCTTTCTGATTTATCTTTAGCCAAGTACACCTTCCCAAAGGTGCCTTCCCCAATGAGCTCAATCAGGTCAAATTTATCCATGGTTCCAGGTGTCAGAGCTTCCTAAAATGAAGAATAAATCTTTACTGCACATGACAACTAGCCAGAAGAAGATAGGTGAAAAGCAACGGAACTGTTTGTTAAAATGTTCCACCCAGCTTTTCAGACACACTCAAGAAACTTCCTTACGGCCACAGGTAATGCTGCACAAAAGGAGTTTAGTTTGGTGGACTCCAAGGTCACACTGGATGGTAGCTCAGCTTTGTGATCTTAAGACGATTCACCACCTCACTAAAGCCTTTCTTCTCTACCTTCTGAAATGGAAAATTACTTGTGTTTGAAAGAAAGATACCTGGTCCCGGGTGGGTGGTTTTCTAAAAAGCAGGAAGTCTAAGGCGGAGACAAGCACATCAGGTCTTGGATGTGCTGCCCTCCCTCTACAAGGAAACCTTGAAATTAATTCTGTTGGTGTTCTGGGTTCTAGAGATGCGGAGGCGTTGTGGTGTTTAAGATGTAGTTAGGGCCTTAGGTACTACCTATGCCATTCAAAAGTCGTTGGTCCGACACAACAAGGAATCACCAGAAAGTCTCTGCATACACTTATATAAAGGAAAACCTAATTCGTCATTATCTGCCCCTAGAACCAAACTATCACATCTGCCTAAGAGGGTTTAACTAGTACTGGATTTCCTAGGAATATAAACCAAGGCTTGGTTGGGTGTGGGGATTTTCCTATGAATTGCTCCCCAATTTGGAAAAACACCCCATCTACTGGTTGTAGGACTGCAGTCAGTGGGAGGTCCAGAATTCTAGCAACTGTGATCAGGTGACTGTCCTGGCAACCGCTACAGGTGTTTACAGGTGGAAATACACACACCGTTGTAGGTTGCTTTCCTCCTGTTTCCCTTTTATGCCACAGTTAGAGCATAAAGGCTTTTTATTTTGCTGTACTGGAAAGCGAACCCAGGACTGCATACATGCTGGGTAAGCATCCTACCACTGAGCTTTACACCTAATCCTTTTGAGAGACTATTATTGAAACAGGTCTATGCTGTTCACGTAGGCCTTGAGTTTGTCATCCTCCTGCCGCAGGCACAATGTAGACTTCTAAAACCTTGGTTGGTCTACTGGACAGGTTGTTTTCATATAATTTCAAGTCTGGTACAATAGGTTGTCAGCAAAGGCGACAGCCAGCATGTGGGCGGGAGGCCAGAATTCAGGACTTTGTAGCTTGTGCGTTGTCATGGAAACCGACGCAGCCCAGTGAGCGGGCTTCCTAGTTGCTGCCCTGTCTATTCCCGCCTAGATTCCCGTTTTTATTCCCGTTTCTCTCCCTGCAGCTTCGAGGGGCCTGCGACAACTCCTGAAAAATAAACACGTTGGGCTCAGCCTACCTCCTCAGACGGCTTTATGCAGTGAAGGTGGAAGTGTCCAGAAGGATCTGGTCTCCAGCAGCTAAGCCTCCCAGATTCAGGGGCAGGGCCACCCCCGGGGGAGGGGGAAGTGGGCGGAGTGCTGGGCGGGAGCAGAGGAGAACCTCAGTGCTCAGTTCCAGGTGCCCCGGGTCTTCATGCTCCTGTGCTATACTAAAAGTAAGTCAGAAGGGAAAACCAAAGACTGAGTTGGACCTCAAAAACGGGGCAAGCACACTTTTATTGGTCTGAGAGTTGGCAGCCTGTAGCTTGGTGTCGGAGGGTGGCAGGAGAAGGCAGTGCAAGGTCTGAGAAGGTTTTGTAGTGGAGCGTAGGGAGATGGGAGAAATCACTTCTAGGGCAAACTTTTTCAAAACTGCGGGGTGGAAGATATGTCAGATTCTTGTTGGAGCCTTCAGATTCCAGGGAGTAGGGTGGAGTAGCCATTTTTCAGAATTCTATGACTGGCAGATTTTTTTTTTTTTTTGAAGCCTCGGACCTGTTTCCTGGTTGGCCTTTTGCGCACAGAGTTGGGGGAGTTTCCTAGGGTCCCCGGCATGCTAAGCAGTGTTCAGCTATAACATACTCCCAGGAGGAAGTGTGTTTCTCATGCAGGGTCTTAAATACTGCTGAGGGGTGTATGTACGAAAGGAACCTGGGCCCACTAACAAAACCGGGCACTGCCCAGTGGTCTGCAGCAACCTAGCATTTCCTACTGATAGTCAAGTTGCAGTAGATTACCTGTGAGAAATATACAACTTTCAGGGTAGTCAATACTCACAAGAGGAAGACATCCATATCCAGTGGAATCTAAGACCTGTGGCCATTTTATATCCCCCATTATCCATGTCCCCTCCCCCCAAAAAAGCCCCTTTGTCTCCTTTATCTACATTCTACTTCCTGGGCCAGAATTTTATAACAATGTAATCTTAATGTTTGAAATTACTACTGATCACCATGTTCACATATGGTGGAAGACACACATAAATGGAAATTTGCATTTCCAGACCACAGCACCTTATGTGTTTTGTTTTCTAATAGTACACAACCAATTGAAATAAAAATTTTAAATCGAATCATCTTGGAAACTAATTCCTTAAAAATCTAATGGGCTCCACACGGAAAAATGTAAACGTGAACTTCTTAGAACAGATGAAGTTCACCTCCTCTTCTTCTCCCCACCCTCCCCCCAGACAGGGTTTCGGTGTGTACCCCTAGTCACCCTGGGACTCAGAGAGGTCAAGATGCCTGCCTCTGCCTCCCTGTTGAAAGATGTGTGCTATTCCCAATCCCTTTCTTTTTAAAAGCTATCAGGGCTGGCAAATCTCACCCAAATAAGCAAACACAGAAAGTTTGGTTTAAAGTAGAAATCATCTGATTTCCGAGAGAATTTATAATCTGACTCACTCTCAGCGGTAAGATACACAGATGGTTTCAGGTTTGCTTTGTCTGATGAGTTGTAATGTCTTTATCCAGCAGTTAGAGCGGACAGAGGTGTGGAGGACGGCATCTGTGGAAGCTGAGTGTCGTGGAAATACTACTGGAGATGAATGCTTTCTTGAGCATGAACCATCGTCAGGAGAGTGTCGAGCTAACGTTTAAGGGACTGACCTAGGAAGGGGGAAGCCGACAACAGAGTCCACACACAAGCTCTGCACACTAGATGCTACCTCGTTCCTCACAGCATCGAGGGTGAACGATCTGGACACTGCTCTGGATGTGTACTGGTCTGAACAACTAAGCAGATGGTTGCAAGCGTGTTCCTCACCATCAGGGAAGGCAGACATAGAAGAGCAGGAAGAGAAGCCTGAATTACTCAGTGACTTCTGTATGAGACGGTGCTTGACTTACTACATACAGACGGGGATGCACAGAACACGGATATGTAGACAGGGCCCAGATATCCCAGAAGCCACCAGTACACTCAACACCCAGACACTGGCTTCTAACCCAGCGAGAGGAACCATGGCTTCCTGAGGGGAAAATGGTTGATGCTGGGGCTGGAACAGAGAGGTTAAAGGTTGATCCTGCTTCATCTTGTAGTAAAAGGACAAGAACATCACAACAGGGCACAGGAACCAGCTAGAAACAATTAGGCAGCCAAACCAGTGACTTAGTGTGACATTTCACTCCTGGACCAACAGAGGGTAGGACTTAAATCCTCTCAGCTTCAGTGTGGCCTGAGTTAGCAGCAGAGAACTGACAGGGACACGAGCGTTGGCACCTGTGATGATGCCTAACAGATACTGAGTTACTACTGCTCAGGGCAAGCAGCATCTGTGGCATGCCATGGTGACATCATGTACTCCTTGACTGGACATGAGGAGAACGGGCCTTACCTTTGTGAAGAACACTGGACACACCCAAATTGAGGAGAAAAACAAAATACCTACCCAGTACTCCTCAGAAAGGGTAAGGACAGACAGACAGACTTCGGGACCATGGGAGACTAACCCTGACTACGTGACTAAGTACAAGAAGATGTCCAGGTGGGACACAACAGACTTTGCATGTTAGGATAAAAAGATGGGCTGGGGTGTAGCTCTGGTACAATACCTGCCTGACATTCATAAGGTCCTGGGTTTGATCCCCAGCATTGAAAATATGGAGGGGGGTTAACTATGAGCCACTTATAGCCCACATTTCAGCAGGCCCTGGTAAATGACTGCACTATAATTTCTTCACCATTTGGAGTGAGGAGAAACCCGTTTCTTCTTTGGGGGAAATAGTCTCCCTTCTTTAAAGTTTCCTAGCATTAAATGAGGGGATCCAGCATCCAGCATGTATATGCATGGTACCCCACTTCAGTGCATAACACGTTCTAGTTTCTGACACATGTCGTATCTCTTTGGCTGGATTCCTACCTCCAGTCCAGGACTGCAATCTTCTGGCAAGCTCTAGAGCCCACCCACTCATCCCACAGCTGACCCCCTGACCTCTGACCCTTTTGTAAATGCTCTGAGGAACACTGAAGGGCAGCTGGTAGTTGGTAGATATCACTGGAAGTCATCTTGAAGCATATCCAAACTGGGTGTTATTGAAAAACAGCACACACTGTTATGCCATAGCTTAATGTATTTGGATCCTTAAACCTTTAGGAAATGTGAGAGTGTTACAAGGGATGACAGCCACTGGATGGCTATGACTGTCTTGGTCAGTGTTCCTGTGAGGTAGGCATCGGTACTCTCATGGATAGTTGAGAAAATTCAGGATCAAAGGACTTAATTCACTTCCTATTGACACACGTAGTGGCCAGCAGGTGAGCATTGCACTGAGTTCTGTCAGAACGAAAGGCACGCAGCATCTGCTAGGCCTGCCTTGTGTTAAAATCTCACAAGGGTTCTGGATTGCTCTGTAAGCTTTGTGACACATTTTCTCCGTCCGCATTTTTGTTGCCAGTCATCAGTTTCTCGTCAGAGTCTCCCGACATGGCTCAGGCATGTTCTCCGAGGAGTTGTCCATCCCCCATCCTACTCGATTCTGCAGTTCTGACACCCAATCGGGATTTTCGTTATCTTCCTCAAAGTCCCTGGGGGGGAAAAACCAATTTGGATGATAAGCCTCCGTATTAGGGCCACGGTCTATACTTGTTAGTGAGTTCAATGAAGAATTCGGCCACACAGTATTTAAGATTTTGAAAAATCAATTCCATAAGGTAGAGAAAAAAAAAAGCTCTAAAAAACAAAAGTGTCCCTGTGGGATCTGCTTTTTTACCCTAATGTATTATAAAATAAAAGCCAGATATAGTTACACATGCACACATCCCGGCACTATGACGCTGACGCAGGAGGAGCCTAAAGGTCTCAGGACTCAGAAACAAAAGCAAGAAATCCCGGTGAAAAAAACATCACGTGCAGGACGCAGCCGGGAACCCATGGTGAGATGTCAGTATTGCCCACCACACAGCAGCACACAGAGGTGCTGTTTAGGATGGAAAGTGGTATAGCTCTTACTACATCTGAAATTACTGCTGTATGGTACAGCGTGTATTCCACTCCCCAATTAAAGCATCCTAGGTCTATTACAACGTACGTGTCTTCTTCATCCAGCCGAGGTTCAAATCTCTCTGGGTCTAAATTGACAGAATCGAGATCACCATCAACGCTGTCCGATGCTGTGTCTTCAGAAAGGGGACCTTTCAGGAATCCTTCTGCACCTTCAGGGGGACAGGAACAGAAAGTGTGGCAATTTACCTATTGAGCTTTAAATGGAATCTCACGATTTTGCCCCAGGCTGGTCTTGATCTCCAAATGTTAGGACTACAGCCCAGAGCCATAGAGCCTGGGGAGGACAGACAATTTAAACCGTATTTACTCATCATGATTTGGGTAGAAAACAGACCCAGGCAGCATCAGAAGGCGGATTAAGTTTTAAAGCAACTCTGCCTCCAGGAGAGGGGGTATATGCACTAAAAACATTAAATGTAAGAAATCTATATTACAGTCTGAGCAATTTGGAGAGATCCTGTCTCAAAATAAACAATAAGAAAAGAGCTAAGTAGTGAGCGCAAGGCCTCGTTCATGCTAGACAAAGCACGTCATCAGCCTTCTTTTAATCATAGTCTATAATAGCCACTCAATAAAACAGCCTTCAATGAAACAAATATAATTACATTTCTTGCAACATCATCAAACCTGCCACGATATTACAGGCTCTAATTGATTTGATTTACCTCTGATTTTAAGTCGCCATGGAGATTTGATATTTGAATTATCAAATATATCATATTATTATATGTATACAAATTCAACCCTTAAATCTAGTCCTTTGGCCTGAAGCCCTAAGGACAATATTATATATGGTCATTCAGGCTTAATGAAAATATATTTTTAAAAAATTAAATCCTAGCTGGACAGAGGCACATGACTTGGGAGGCAAAGGGCAGAGGGCAGAGGGTAGAGGCAGAGGTAGGTGGATTTCTGAGTTCTAGACCAGCCTGTTCTACAAAGTGAGTTCTAGGACAGCCGGGGCTACACAGAGAAACCCTGTCTCAGATAGATAGATAGATAGATAGATAGATAGATAGATAGATAGATAGATAGATGATAGATAGATAGAGACATACATACATACATACATACATACATACATAGACAGATTCTAACTGTCCATTTTAAAGCTCTATTCAATATAATAAATCTGAAAGAAATCTTGAGGTATTCCTATGACAAGTGTACATTTACATGGTAAAAATGGCTGTTCCTGGGCTACAGATGGATACAGCTTATCACATACAATAACAAGGGTCTGATCCCAGCACCCCTAACAATTTTAAACGGATTGTTTTTCTAACATAGTGATTGTTAAAATAAGAAATCAGGAAATAGAAATAAAGTATCTACAATGAGAAATTTTAAATACAGGATAAGACTAGCCATAAATGATTCGATAACACCTAAAAGTACAATTTTGGGAACTTTCATGATTTATTTTTATGTGTATGTGTGTATGTGTGCCCACAGTTTATATATGTACCATACATGTGCTTGTGTACCAAAAAAGTTCACTGGATCCACTAGAACTGGACTTGCCACATGGGCACTGGGAACCGAACGCTCGTCCTCTAGAACTGAGGGTGCTCTTAAGTGCCGAGCCATCTCCCCTGCCCCAGCTTCACACTTTAAAGTCACGGGGACCAGGGAAGAGAGAATGGGTCTATTTAACATGTGCAGCTCCAGTGTCTCAGGAAACAGACTCTGGAGGCTGGTTACACAGTAACGCACGAGTGTAAAACTACTGACCTGCACACTCAAAGAGTATTAAGATGAAGGACCTGGGGAGAGGAGGCTCAGCAGTTAAGAACACTTGCTGCCCTTTAGAGGATGTTTGTTTCCCAGCACCTACATGGTGGCTCACAACCGCCTGTAACTCCAGAACAAGGAATCTGACTCCCTCTTCTGACTCTCCCTGGGTACCTATACACAAATACATTCACCAACATGGACATAAATAAATATAAATCTTTTTAAATGTGACTAAGATGGTCAATTTTATTCATATTTTACTGCATTTTTTTAAATTCAAAGTATCTGTATGATTATAAAACAGACAAATATTACCTGGTCTATATATTGTGTATGTTTGAAACGCCTGGCTGAGATCAGCATCCTTCAGCATTGACAACAAGGCCTCAGGGGGCTCTCTGACCCACTGCTTACGGGCATTTTCTTCACTGTACTTTATTACAGAGCCACCTGGTTATAAAGAGGGACATTAATTAGTAGCAGGTATAAAGAAGATTTCCCAGCATCTATCATTCATATCATATTTCAAGCAAAGTTATGATTATATCTGAAATGTTTCTTGCAGAGTGATATAAATTCAAACCCTGACACAGCTTTTCTATAGACCGCTCTATAGTAAAACAATAATATTCAGTCTGACTATGGTCTTCCCAGCATATCCACAGGCTCTAGAGTTTTGGATCTAAGATTTGTTTGTTTGTTTGTTTAATGTATGTGAATATACTGTAGCCATCTTCAGACACACCAGAAGAGGGCACTGGATCCCATTACAGATGGTTGTGAGCCACCATGTGGTTGCTGGGAATTGAACTCAGGACCTCAGGACATCTGGAAGAGCACTCTTAACCTCCGAGCCACCTCTCCAGCCCCAGATCGGAGATATTTTTTGAGTCAAGTCTTGGAGCTGGAGAGATGGCTCCATAGATAAGAGCAGGTGTTGTTCAATTATGAGGATCAGAGTTCAGTTCCTGTCACCCTCACTGAGAAGCTCACAAATGCCTGTAACTGTAGCTCTGAGGGCTCTGACACCCTCTTCTGGCTTCATACACATAAGCACATGTAGTCACATGGACAGACACATGCACAAATAAAATTAAAATAAGTAAAAGTTAAGTCTGTATTGAACATATTACAGATGCACATGAACAGTGCAGTTCTGGCAACTCTTTACCCGGCATTTATGTGGCCTTATGTACAACTGGTCTAGAGATTATTTAAAGTGTGTAGACAGATGTGGGTGTTACACGTATTTCACATATTCCAAGGGATGGTGATGGTGCTAACCTCTGTCATCCTCTGCCGTGAAACTGGAGCTTAGGATGGATGCTTTTTCCAAAGCCGCTACAGCAGAACTGGGACCGTGTCTCTCCCACCGCTGCCTGCGAGGACTTGCTGGACTGATATTCCTGTGGTGCTCTGGGGGGTTACCTGAGTCTCAGATGCAGAAATGGATCAAAGGTCAACAGTGTCACTCTGTTTACTCATCCACATGTGCACATGGGCTCTAACAAGGCAGAAATATTTCTCTTCTCTCAGACTCAGACGTAGCAAGAGTCCCGTGCAGTCTTAGGAACTAAGGCAATAGCAATAATCTTGAGTGAGGTCATGTAAATGCTAGCTCGACTCAGAATGAACTGTCAAAGTGGATGCATTAGAACATGCATATCATTAACCTTCGGCATGACGTAAGGAATGAAACCCCCAAGGACTCACGCACACAAAGCGTGCTGTACTTGCGATGACTCACTGACACATACCTTCTCTTCCCTCCCTACTTCCCTCTTATTCGCTGTTTTTCGGGCTGAGTTTTTTACCTAGAGCCTCAGCAGGAGAGCATGAACTCTATTATCAAACCACGCCCCCAGCCCTTAACCTCTCTTTTCTGAATTGTGTGTTATTAGGTATTTTGCCTGTCTATGTCTGCATGCAGACCATGTGAGTGTTTGGTGCCTGTAGAAGCCAGAAGAAAGCATTGGATCCCCTGGAACTGATGCTGCAGACAGTTGTGAACTCCTGTGTGGGTGCTGGGAACTGATCAGGACTATGGAAGCACAGCCAGTGGTCTTAACCACAGAGCCATCTCTCCAGACCTTAATGTCTCTTTTTGGCAGATAACTGAAATATTCTCAAATATTAAATCCTAGGTGAGCAAATAAATATCCACCTGCAAACTTGCTAACGAAACCCAAGACCAAGTAACGTGAACATTGGCATTCACTCACAGTTCCAAACGTCCTACATAAAGAATGACTGTAATATATTAACTCACCTGGATTTCCCCTGGCTACTCTTCCCAATGCACTTCCAACTGGGTTTGTATGAGTGCTTTCCAATTCAGTATGGCTGCACGTTCTACCATGTTCTTCCTCTTGCTTTATAAAAGATTTTAAAATAGTGATTAAATAATGTCTGTGTTACTACAGAAATGTAAATAAATATGTAGTCAGCTACTTTAAGTAGAAATTAATGCACTAAACCCATGAAGTCATAGAAACCCAAATACAAGCATATTGATAATCAAATACATTATAGACATGTATATGAATATGTTACTCATATTCGTGTATATTAATATCCATATATATCAGTAGCCATTATAGGATATATGTGTATATATACATACACACATATATATACACATATGTACATATGTACATATATACATATATACATATACATATACATATACATATACATATACATATACATATACATATATACACACACACACAAACATATATAAACAACAGAGATACTGGACTAGGACTAGTTTTTCTTCTTTCATGACTTCCCCCGCACCCCACCCCTCCTTCCAGATCCTCCTACCTTCTTATACACTTAACGTCATGTTCTCTGTCTTAACTCTCTCTCCATCCAGCTCTGCCACTTGGACAGCTACATTTTTAAAAGTAGCCAAACATCAATGTGCACTAGTGTAAATACTATTGAAGTGTATACCCGAAAATTATTAAGATGAATGAAGAGGCTGGAGACAGAGGACTCGGCAGTTTAAGAACACATGCTGCTGGGAGAATCAACTCCAGCGAATCGTCCTCCAACCACCATGCCAACACCACAGTACATGTGACCCCACCCCCGTAATAAAATATATGTAATAAATAAAACTTTTAAAAGATGAGTTGGTCACCCTGGGTCTTTGAGTATTCATTCTGAAGGCTTCCACCCCACCATATAAAACTCTATCATAGAAAGTTGATTAAATCGTGCTTCTCCGAATGGTCTAAACCCTTTACGTCATGCAGCGTAGTAACACACTACATGGGTGGTCCTCACTAAGAACGCACATACTCAGAGAGGGATGTAAACGCAGCGCCTAGCTAGTGGCTTCTCAGCTACTGGCTGACAAGATGAGGAACAGGCTGCTGGCACGCTTGAGTTTCTTGTTCTTATGCAATGGCTCGCTCAAAATTCTTTTTGACACATCCAGGGGACACAAAACATCACTTCACAGGGATGCCTCAGCATACCGTTGATTTCAAAATCCACCAGAATCCTGAAGCAGTTGTTAGAAGAGGATGTTGAAAACCCTCAGGGGATGCTGACTGTCCTAGTTAGGTTTACTCCAACTTGACACAGTCTATAGTCATCTGAAAAGGGAGTTTCACCTGGGGACTGCTCAGATGACAGTGGCCTGTGATGTGACTGGGGGAGGGGCTGTCTTGATTATTAGTTGATGTGGGAGGCCCAGCCCACTGCAGTGACACCTTTCTCAGGCAGTTGGTCTGGGCTGTGTAAGAGCTCTCAAGCATAGCACTAGGAGCAGGCTACGGAACAGTGTCCTCTGTGGTCTTCTGTTTCCAGGGTGGCCTGCAGGATGCTCTCACGGCCTCAGGCCTGGATTATTCAGTGTTCATTATACTCACAATTGTACCCTTTCATCTGGGAACCCTTGCTGAGCTGTCCACTCATGGTGACAGAGTTGCACTCTGGCCAGTGACCTCCTATATCCCCGAGTGACCCTGGAGCCCCTCAGGGATGACAAAAATCACCAAAGAATATATTTCTCAGAACCTGTCCCCAGAGTTAACCAACATATATTACACATGTTATTAATCCACAGTTTCCAAAAACTCTTCAGATGACTTTAACTTCTAACTTTTTACCGTGGTGCTGACTATACAGCTACCTCACTCAATCAGATTACCAAAATTCACCCAACTATATGCTAAAAATGGGCAGATGTTATTATATGTAAAATATGCTTCCATAAATCTAAAATATAACCTAGTGTATCAATGAAAAGATTTATTTTAACATATGGCCTCAGGGTATGTTCTACTTATAGAACCATAATTCTGAGACATTACTTACAATCTAAAGCTCTCTAGACATTCTGTGAGTTTAATTACTAGTAAGTTTCATGATGAGGACAGGCTGACAGTACATCTTTCCCCCTGGGGAGGGGGCGGGGGGACAGTCTGGTTACGTTGCACACACTGGTCTTGGAAGCTGCTGTGACAAGCCACCTACATTGCTCACATACATTTTAATAGTGTAAGCAAAACCGCTCTGCAGAGGCAATGCAAGTCCCTGAAGGCGGCTCCCCACAGCACCCATCACAAGTGAAGCTTAATTCTTTGCTATTCAGTATATACACAGTCCACAATCTTAGTAGGGCATCAAACAAAAAGCTGAAAGTCTTAAAGTGAAAGCAATTCTTCACATTCACTTCATTTTTTGTGGGTTGGTGGACACAGGGTTTCACTATGTAACCCTGGCTGGCCTGGAACCCACTAAGTAAACCAGACTATCCAAGAACTCAAAGATCCACCTGCTCTACCTTGTAAAGCACGCATCACCACACCTGGCCATAAAGAATTTTATGCATGAAATCACAATCCGAGAAACAGAAAGATAATCATAAAGAAATACAAACACTTAAAGAATGAAACTGGAAACAATATATTTTTTAAAGAAAAATTCATCTTAGTTATGGTTTCTGTATTTGTGAGGACTAATGATGCTTTGTGGTTTCAGTCCCCAGGGAGTCCTTCTGAATGACAGTCAAGGACACAGCTTTGCCCTGGAAGCAGCTCCGCCCTGGCAGGCTGCTGACTGTGTACTAACAGGAATTGCAAGGGTTCATCACCAGACAGAACTGTCTGAGTCTTAAATCCTGGCAATTGTTGGTTTTGTTGTCTGTATTGGCAGTGCTCACCTGTTGGTATAGAGGTAACCTGCCCTCCCAGTAAGGGATCAGTCCACACAGTTAGAGGTTAATGAAATGAAGGGAAAGCTCTTTAATTATGATTGGCTGCCTTTTAGCTAACGCCCAAAGATCATCTGCCCTTGAATAGATCTCAGTAGCTGGTATACACCTTAGGCTTGTGCATTTTACGTTGCTCTCACTCTTAAATCTCCTTCAGGTCCCAGCCCCAGGTTATACTTCGAACAATTTAAACAGAGACAGGAACCTGCACTTCTGGCCACTCGGGCAGATGGGAGATACTGACAGAATTATTTAAGCACACCTATATTGTTCTTGTCTAATAGTTGTTACCCAGGTACTTCTTACTCACCTGGCAGAATAATGCATTTCTCAAAAAGACAACTAAGGGCTTTAGGCAAGCCACAGGTCGTTAACACCTGGCTGTGACCCTGTGCTGCCCCTCTGAGCTGCCTGTCAGAGGCAATGTTCTTTAGGGATGTGGTAGTGGCTGGCCAATTCTGGTCAAACACCTACATCCCAGAATGTACCTCAATTACCTCTGACAGGTCTGGTTAGTGCATAGCTTACCTTTGTGGTATTTGGGGGGTAGGGGGGAAGATAATGTTCCCTTAGCTAAATTCTACTTTGTGTAATTTATGTCTCCTAGGAAAGAATTGACACTTCTCCTTTGGAACGGCTCCATTCTCTCCTATCTGGTTACATAAACCCCATCTGGGATCTCTGAACACTGGCTTCAGATTTTCGACCCTCCTGCCCAGCTCTTTGTAACCTTTTGAATTAAAATGTTGGATGCTGGGAGTGTAGCTCAGAGGATTAGAAAAGCCCTCTCGGGCCTGATCTCAGTTCAACAAAAGAAGAAAGCTACTTAAAGCATCAAAGAAGGGAAAGGAACCAGAAGTCCACTAATCATAGCTGACTTGCTGAGGTGGGTGTTGTGGGAAGGAGACCCGCTGGCACTGTTCATGGCTTTATCGAATCAGTAGTGGAACAGCGTCACAGCTGCCCAGGGCTCAAAACGACTAACAGTACCTTGGATACCAGACTGAAAAATGTCAACTTGATTCACAGGATAACTCAAAAGGGACTACGTACTCTGGAATGGAAGAATGTCAAGGCTAAAACAAGAATAAGATTCTAGCACATGCTGCAATATGGACGAACCCTGAAAACCGAATGTAATAAGATAACTCAGGCACGGGGAGGGCAGATCTGCGTAAGTTCTGTGATGGCGAGATTTATGTCAACTTGACACAAGCTAGAGTTATCCGGGAGCAGAGGGAGCCTCCATAACATCCAGCTGTAAGGCATTTTCTTAATTACTGATGGATGGGGACAGGCCCAGGCAGAGAAAAGAGAGTGCAGACCCAGCTCTCTGCTTCCAACCCCTCACCGCTGCCGTTCCCTGCTGGGACCCACAGCTTTCTTTAGTTGCTTTTGTGGATACTTTGTAACACCAAAGAGAAAGGTATAAAACACAGTCTCAAAACAAATAAATTGCTACAATGCCAAAATGTTTGGTTATATATATTTTACCGCAGGGAAAGCAAAACAAAACAGAAAGCCAAGCTTAAACAATATGTTCACGTCAGGAGGCAGGACTTCGTTCTGTCATATCTATACGGGTACCACCGCCATTGGTAATTAAACACACACTAGACTAAATGAAGGTCCAAAGAGCTCAGCAGGCAGTGCAGGGCAACAGCTACTGGGTGCCTCTGTCACTCCTCAAAAGGTGAAGGACAGCATAGCTGAAGGGGCAGGGCCAAGGCCTGACCTCACCACGTGACAACACAGCTGCTGCTCACCAGGCTCATGCTTCATAAATTCAATTTTAAAGCACTTACCACGGCATTTGCTTCATCTCCCAGAGCTTTCCTCACTCTGCTGGGGTCTGCTTAGAAAGAGAGGAAACATAGGAAGCTCATCATATTAAAATCTAACAGGTCATAACATAACCCCTGGACCCCACATCGTATTTTGTGTTTTAAGAAAGGCCCCCACTATGTAGCCCAGGCTGTCCTCCCCCGCCTCCCAAACACTGGCTTTCGGTGCTGACAAATAAGGGTTTTAAAGATAGTTGACCACAGCATTAACCTGAAGGGGTATCCAGCTTTCAACGCCTGGTAATATTCTCCAGACAGAAAAAGAAACGTTTGTTGTTTCATTCATAATGTTGAGATCTTCATAACATTTATAATGTCACATGAGAAATTAGAGATATCTGCACCACCACTGTTGCACCCCCACGTTTTACTGATTTTTGTTTTTGTTGTCTGTTTTGTTTTTTGATGACAGGTTTCATTATGTAGCCTTCACTTGCATAGAACTCATTTTGCAGATCCGGTTAGCCTGAGACATTCTCTGATCCTCCTGCCTCACCTCCAAAGTGCTAGGATTAAAGGCACAAGCTACCATGTTTGGCTCCCTTTAACATATCAAAAACTGCTATTGAATACCTGTGAGGACAGGCAATAAAAACACTCTTTTATTCTTGTGACAGTCAATGAAGATATTCTAAAGCGGTTTGTAAGTTCATCTCCTTGCCAACCAAACTACTGAAACAAAGACCCCTTAGGAACTGGCATTTCCTCAGAGTCTCATGCTGGGAACGGGGAAAGACTGAAGCCTGGAGCAGCTAGAGAAAGAGCTTGTCTCCTGGAAAGGGATTCCACATGGTTCTGACACCTGAGAGACAGAAGCAAAGACAGGAATGGGTCGATCATAGGTGGGCCCACCTTGACCAGGACATTTAGCCATGCATGTCCCTTGCTGTAAACTTGAACCTCATGTTAGGACCCTGGAAGGTGGACAGGTTTGTGTGCATGACAGCCACAGAGGGCCATACATTCAGACAACTCCGTACCGAGATGGATATCTGGCATAGACCAAGATGGCTAATGCTGAACATGGAGGGGTGAGGGGGAAGGCAGGGTGGGGATAGAATCAGCAACAGATAACTGATACCAGATGTCCAGGGAACCCAAAAGTGGCAGTCTTGTAATCTGTTCTCTAATTGCACCAGGCAGAATGCCACTTTGTGTCAGAGGCTAGTGCCTTCAGCCTGTGTGTGGTGATAGATGTGTCTGCCTGGGTACATACATCCTACGGCTGCCTGCCAGCGTCTGACTCCTGAGTGGCCTGTGTGGCACTGAATAGAGCGAGGCTTATCTGCCTGCCGCTGCATTCTCTCTAAGCTCCTGGCTTCGGGGACACCGCGCTTTCCCTGGCACTGAAGCATGGACCCCACAGTGCCAGTCACTAGTCCTTGTCCCTCTCCCCAGTGCGGACACAGTGAACACCCTCCTTTCTCTTCTTCTCTCTATTGTCTCTGATTGGCTGAGGACGAGGTGGCTGAACCAAGCCTGTTAGGGCCGCCTGGAGAGGCTCTTAGGCTAACCCCTGTAACACTGTCTCTATATATTTTGGAAATTACAAAGCTATGCTTTTCCAAAACATGTTGAAACTTCTAGTGCTTTCTTGGCCAGTGTTTCCTACTACCCTGGGAAAGGAACAAACGCTGCAAAATAGTACCAGAGGCAAAACTGTCATCAAAGAAATCTTGTAAAGCAATGTAAGTGGCTGCTGCTTGAGCGACAGAGGTGATGCCTAAGGGTAAACCGAGGCTACATCCGTGATACTGTGACAGACATACTTTGAATTTTGTCTACAGTTCTCGGCTCATTGCTCCCATAGCCCTTCAACCTACCCCAGAAAAGCAAACAAAGTGCTTCCACAAGTGGTCTATGTGGACAGCTCAATGATACAGAACCCCACACGTGGTTAGTTACCCACAATGCCCCAACAGGGAATGACCTATACTTCTCACTCTTCTCATACCTATTATCTCTGATGAACTTCTTCAGAAGGAAGTCAGTGATTGAAAAGGAATTTTTAAGATTTATTAATTTATTTTATGTATTCACCATTGCTCTCTTCAGACACACCAGAAGAGGGCATCGAAACCCATTGCAGATGGTTGTGAGCCACTATGTGGTTGCTGGGAATTGAACTCAGGACCTCTGGAAGAGCAGTCAGTGTTCTTAACCACTGAACCATCTCTCTAGTCCGAAAAGGAATTTTTAAAAAAGCTTTGAAAAGATTTAGACAACACGTTCCAAAAGAGATGTTAACTTAGACTCGATGCTTGCTCAGGGCACACTACAGATGCTCGGAATTTTTATGCAGTCATTATGCAGATAGTACCTTTGTTTAAAGGCTTTTGTTCTAAACTGTATTTTTCAATTGATAAATTTTATCTTTTTAGATGAGATGTAAGGTCACAAACTTAATTGAAAGCATACACACACACACACACACACACACACACACACACACACACACACCCCTCTTCCCAGGCATGTACTTCCTCCCACACTGACGGATATCCTACACTACTTGATGTATCCTTGACAGTCAGTGAGCCTACACTGATCCATCACCACCCAAAGCCACAGTTCTCTGTAGAAAGGGCTTTGCCTTTAAAAAGTTAGCTTGAAAAATGGTTCAGCAAAATATAACATTAGTGTTAGGGTTAGATCCCTAAGTCAGCCCACACATAAGCCAAGCCTTCAGCCTAACCCATAATAAGTCCAAGTAGGTAAGATACTAAATTACAAAACAGACAGTCTCTCATCTCTGAACTCTACAATCTAGGTTCTTCTTAGTCCTGGGAAAAATTGAAAAGTACAGTAAGGAGGCAGGAAACTTGAAATAATAAAACGGAGGCTATGAAGGATCTACTTCCTTCGGAAATAGTAAGTTACACAAAGCGGGATTTAGCTGAAGGAGCTCGGCCTCAATATAACTGGATGATAAAAACCTTATTAACCAGGCTCCTTAGAGATGGCAGGAAAGCAAATTCCGTACCATAACTGAAGTCTGGGCTTGCTGAGAATGTTTCTAGTGTTCACCAAGACTGACCTCCAATGAGGCTCTACTGCCATAACAAAAGGAGACAGCCCTGACTCAAAACCTGCCACTAGGCCCCTCCCCATATTGAAGAATGTGCCTCTGACAGGCAGCACAAGAGGACAGCTCAGGGTCACAGCCATCACTAAGACCTGGCCTGCTATTAAGTCCCCTGTGTTCTTATCAGGAGAAGCATAATTCTGCCAGGTGTCCTTGGGTAACAACTATTTGAAAAGAACAAAACTTAAATAATTTTATCAATATCACGCTCCCATCTGCCCAAGTGGCCAGACATCAACATTCCTGCCTCTGTTTACATTGTTCAAAGTATAATCTAGGACTGGGGCCTGAAGGAGATTTAAAGACGACGGTGTATGCAGAATGTGTAAATTCACAGTCCATAGAAGCTGGTAAAATATTCTGTCCGAGGCTGGCTCCCTTTCGTGCATCCCAGAACTAGCCATGCACTAGTATTAAAGAGCCTTTTCCTCTATTGATCTCTAAGTGTGCGGAGTAATTTTTCACTAGGAAAGCATATTAATTCTATAACAGTATAGGATCTGAAGTAAATTATGTCTGATGCAGCAAAGAAAACTATTAGAGGACTATCTCTGATAGACAGTTCTAGTAACTTGAAGGTCCTGTTTTCTTTTTACGATACTTTTAAAAACAGACATGTAAAGTAAGCTCTCCCAAACTCTTACCCTGTTTTTTCATGTTCTTAGGCTCGGATATTTTGATTTCATCTAATATCTGTTCTCCATATTCTCTGATGACCTGAAATTTAAATTTGAGGATTTAAACATGTGAAAAACACTTCTCTATACCCCACACCAGCCCAGAACATGTGATCCCTCTGCCTTAGCCCACACAGCAGAGATTGCTAGCCACCATAGTCAGATCCAGATGAAAAGAGACACTTTCCTTTAGACACCACCATACTGCTATATACTTATCAATGCTCTTCAACACAAGAATGATTATAGTTTGAAAAAGAAAAACATTTTTAAAAAGCAAATGCAGGCATGGTGCTGAAACCTTTTATCCCAGAGCTTGGGAGGTAGAGTGGGTAGATTTCTGAGTTCGAGGCTAGCCTGGTCTACAAAGTGAGTTCCAAGACAGCCAGGACTACACAGAGAAACCCTGTCTTAAAAAACAAAACAAAATAAGACAACAACAACAAACCCCAAATAGAATAAGTAAGCATAAGGAGATGAATGCAAGTCTAGCAACTTGGAGGCTGAGGCAAGCCTGCCAATTTGAGGCCAGTTCTGACCCCAAAACAACAGCCCAAGTCTGATGCCTAGCCAAAAAAGAGGAGAGGGAGAGACACAAATAACATTATAACTTAAACACTGAGACAAACAGAGAGCTGTATGTGCCTAGAAAAGGATCTGGAGGAACCAGCAAACAGCAGCTGAGATGTAGCTATGTAAGGGGAGGTTCTGATACTAAGGTCCAGTTCCCTGATTGGTTCTTGATTAGTCAATAAAGACAGCCTGGAGCCAATTGTTGGGCGGAAGGTTTAAGTGGGAATTCTGGGTCCGAGGAGAAAAAGGAGCCGCAGGGAACAGAGAGGGGCTTTTCTGCCATGCAGAGGACACAGCAAACATTGTAAGCCCTCGGAGCAGCTAGGACCTGCGGCCTCCGCTACGGGCGGATGGCCAAGGGTGGCAGGGGCCAGCGGATGCAAGCCACTGAGTTCAGGGCGGAGGGAGAGACTGGGGAGATAATAAACTGATAAGGGCACACATTTCCAGGTGGGAGGTATTTGGGCCCAGCAACTGTGCCTTGAGGCAAGTTCTAAAGGTAATGGTGCAGTGTGTGTATTTTTTATCGGCGGATTCAAAAGGAAGCCCGGTTAGGGCTGGTAGCATAAGGCGATCCTGGAGCGTAAGGGGGTAGCGTGTTTTTAAAACTACATGCAACAGAGCACTGCCCACCATACATGAAGCTCTGGCAACCCCAGAACAGGAAATCGTAATGGCTACCGGGAAGCAGAGGAGGGAGAGGAAGTTCAACCATTTTAAAAACTCTTCATGCATGGGTAATAAGTGAATTACGCTTGAAAGACAACCATTTTAGGGCCAGTGAGATGGCTCAGTGGTCAAGAGAAGCTGCTGCCAAGCTTGATAACCTGAGTTGGGTTACTAGACAAGTAAAGCTAGAGAGAGCCACGCCCACCTCTAAATGCTAGAGCCAATGAGAGACACCCTTGCCGTACCTGAGGGGGCAAGCACTTGAGCACCAGAGGAGCTAAGCTCCCTCTGCAGAGCAGGGTGGTGGCGGAGGGACGGTGTGAAGGGTTCCTTTTCAACATCTGCTTGACAAGACACTGAAGCTTGCAGGAATACAGAGCGGGCAGCGGGTGGATGGGCCCCTGACATATTTTCAGGATAAGATTTTTCCAACTGTTTGCCTGGAACTGAAAAGTAAAAGTTACACTTTGAATACATGGAAAGAAGATACAGACATAGGGAACATCAGCCGAAGTAAGTTCGTGTTTCCGTCAGTTATCTCCATTTTGGGAAGGTGCCAGGCTGTCAGGTTCCTTTCCTTTTGAAAATGGCTTTGTGTGCTTTGGGGGAAGGTGACCATGAGCAGGCCAGCCCTCCACATGGAGACACGGTGTCTAACAGTGTCTACCTCATCAGTGCTAGCCTGTCATGAGCACACTCAGGGACACAGCGTCTACCAGTGTCTACGTCATCAGTGCTAGCCTGGCATGGGCACACTCAGGGGCATCAGCACAACCGTGGCTCCCTACTCGGGCTGCACTTCAGAATAATCCGATTTTAAAGCATAAAATAAAAGGCCTCTTTGGAGATTCTGATTCAGTTATGTTGAATGGGCCGAGGCCTCAGCATCTAAAAACGTTCTTTAAACTGTTCTCTCTCTCCCTCCACATCCTCTCCCCTTTTTATGTTTTTAAAGATTTATTTATTATGTATACAGCATTCTGCCTGCACATATACCTGCATGGCAGAAGAGGGCAACAGATCTCATTACAGATGGTTATAAGTCACCATGTGGTTGCTGTGAATTGAACTTAGAACCCCTGGAAGAGCAGACAGTGGTCTTAACCTCTGAGTCATCTCTCCAGCCCTCTCTCCTTTAAAGATTTCTTAATTTTATCTATTTAAATACACTGTCAGTCTTCAGACACACCAAAAGAGGGCATCAGATCCCATTACAGATGGTTGTGAGCCACCATGTGGTTGCTGGCAATTGAACTCAGGACTTCTAGAAAAGCAGTCAGTGCTCTTAACCGCTGAGCCATCTCTCCAACCCAACTGTTCTCTCTCTCTTTTTTTTTTTTTTTGGTTTTTCGAGACAGGGTTTCTCTGTGTAGCCCTGGCTGTCCTGGAACTCACTCTGTAGACCAGGCTGGCCTTGAACTCAGAAATCCACCTGTCTCTGCCTCCCAAGTACTGGGACTAAAGGCATGTGCCACCACCGCCTGGTTGCTGTTCTCTTTTTTAAAACATGTTTTATTTTAAAAAATATTTTTGAAAGCTTTTTTTATTGTATGTGCGTATGAGAGTGTAATTAATATCAAGAGTGTAATTAGTGACTATCACAAATGTAACAAATATCACAAGTGTAATTAATATCATGAGTATAATTAATGAAGATCATGTGCAATTAATAAAGATCACAATGTAATTAATGGATATCACAAGTATAATTAAAGACTATCACAAATATAATTAAAGATATCATGAGTGTAATTAATGGGTATCAGAAGTGTAATTAAAGAATATCACAAGTGTAATTAATATCAGGAATATAATTAATGAATATCTGGAGTGTAATGCACACCACTGAATTGTGAGCTGAAAAATGTTTAGAATGGAAACACTATGTTTTTTTTAAAGGAAAGCTACATAGAGCATCGCAGCCTCTGACAGACATTTCCTATTGGCACAGAATTACAACAGGGTTCAGCACAAAGACAACAATGGAAAAAATCAGAAACTTTTAGAACAAATTCCTCCTGGAAAAGTGAGTCCCGGTTCAAATCTGGTACACCCCTCGGGCGGGCCTTAGCAGGACTTGACAAGTGGCCTTTGGTCTGGTGCCATACTTACTGGATGCTTCAGAGCGCAGAGTTCATACAGGATGCATCCCAAGGACCAGATGTCGCTAGAAGCACAGCAACAACTATGTTACGAGTTATCGTGGAAATACATGCATTTTATTTTCATTACATCTAACTTATTGTTGTATATGTATGACCACACACATGGGCCACCAGGTATATGTGGCAGTCAGAGGACAACTTTCAGGAGTTTGTTCTCTTCTTCCATGTGTGCCCTGGAGACTGAACTCATCAAGCTTGCTGACAAATGACTTTACCCACTGACCAATCTCGTTGACCCTGCATTTTATAACCCTCCGTATCTAGCCCTTGGGGGCCGGGCTCTGCTTCTGCCTTCAGAGTATTCAGGTACCTGCTGGAATGAAAGGAAGGGAGCTTGCCCAGGTGGGCGGGTCCCAAGGAACTCAGTGCAACTGGCTCTTCTTTATGGGGGTGGGGGAGTGGCCATTTAGACGACAGTCCATGAAACAATGGCTTTCTTTATTTGGAGGTAATAAGGGTGATATAAACCTTGGGGAGTAGCCAGGGGTTTCCAAGGAGAGTGTACATTATTGGCTGAGGTCCTGGAATGCTTTATTTGGATAAAGAGGGATCCCAAGTGCTTAAACCTATCATTTGGCCAAGAGGCTATGTGACTTTCCCAAGAAGGATGGTGGGAGTGGGGGTGGGTCATGGGGCTATGAGCCCCAGGACATGCAGGCTGAGAATAGGCAGGTCTGAAAATGAAATTTTGGTCTCAAGATGAGGTTTTCAGGGTTGTGGATGCTTTTCAACCTCACTCTTATTCCAGGCCTGGCCTCTCCAGGTACACTTGTGCCACAAGTCCTGGTCCCAAGTGCCCTGGCCTCCCTTGCATGGACAGCAACCAACCCCTAAGCTTCCTCTAGGGCCCACACTGCCTGCCCCAGGTAACAGGCCTCTCCCATGCCACGCCCAACCTCTCCACCCAGCATTATCTATGACCACACACCAGGCCTCTCTACCCAGAATCATCTATGACCACACACCAGGCCTCTCTACCCAGCATCATCTATGACCACACACCAGGCCTCTCTACCCAGCATCATCTATGACCACACACCAGGCCTCTCTACCCAGCATCATCTATGACCACACACCAGGCCTGGACTAGGATGCACATCCTGCATAGCACCCAGCCCCCTCTATCCTCCTGACTTCATTCCACACAATCCATATAAAACGTCTAGGCACAACCCTCCCACACATGCTCTGTCCATTTCAGACACAGAGCCATAAGAAGTCAGCAACCTGAACGGACTTGTAACACAAGAGGCCACTGAAATAACAGTAAAAAGCCCTCCAGATATAACACTCCAGGGACACAATTCTCAGCGGAATGCCACCAGACTTTCAGAGAACATCTACTGCCAAGCCTTCTTAACATATTCAAAAAGAGAAAGAAGAAATGGTATTCCAAACCTCCTTTTAACAACAAAAAAGGAAACTGCAGGAAACAGATATTCCTGATGAACCCAGAAACATTAGTGTCCCATATAACACCCGATAACGGGGTACAAACAAACATCAAAAAGACTCCACCATGACCAAGTTGGCTTCACTTCACCTCTGAAATGTAGGACGGTTCAACGTATGTCAATAAATGTAATGAACCACACCAATGGGCTGAAAGACAAAAATCACCTGGACATCTCGATAGATGCAGAAAAAAATCCTCGATAAAAACCAACATGCATTGGGTTTTCGAGGAACTCTAGAGAATCCAGGGCTAGAGAATATATGCCAACATAATAAAAGCTGGTCAGAGAAACCCACAGCCAGCATCAGCCTTGTACACCAGTGCTTCTCAACCTTCTTACTGCAGTGACCCTTCACAACAGCTCCTCATGTTGTGGGGATCCCAACCATAAAATTATTGTTGTTGCTATTTCATAACTGTAATTTGGCTACTGCTGCCCTTGTAAGGACTTGATACAACCAAGAGCTTTCCAGATGTGGCTGTGTGCCGGAACTTCCCAGGGATCTTGAAAACATTGGCTGTCTAGTTCCCATTCCGATGGTCTATTTGATGGATGGGGGGCCCCCCCCCCCCGGGGGAATCTTAAAAGCATGAGCAGGGCAGTCTGGGACCAGCTACGTAATGCAGACCGTCTTGCAGCCCACTGACCTCCTTTCAGCAATCAGCCCCCCACAGCTGCGATTACAATGGTTGGAACATCTGGACGCTCGAGCATACAGATTCCGCGTGACTTTAATATATTTATTTATTTTGCCATTTTATTTCTCTGGTGTTGGCAATCAAATCCAAGACACGCGCTAGACAACATGATTCTACTAATAAGCTGCATACACCAAGGCCCCGAGCATATTTTCAGAAAGCAGAGCTGGGACGGTGGCTAAGCAGGGTCAAAATATTTGCCCTATAAGCCTGGCCACCTGATTTTGATCAGGTGCTCATAAAAAGTGCACACAAAACTGTGCATCAGTGCAAAACAGATACATCAGTGATCTTAGCACTCCTACCTCGAGACAGGAAGTGAGACATAGTACTGGCTGGAAACCTGTGGGCCAGTTAGCCTGGAGTACAGCATCAAAACATTAAGATAGGTAGACTTCCTTCAACAAGGTTTAAGAGTCAACGGTGAAAAGACTGTCTCTGATGTCCACACACAGGTGGTGGCACATGTACACGCATGTACACACAAGCATACATGCATACACATTAAATAACTAAAATACATTTAAAGCTAATAAGCTCCATGTATCTGCACAGACTCCAGCATCAGCTTGCAGACTAGCGGCCCTCCCATCAAATGGCCAACCTTACCCAAACAAGGACACCACTCACCTTTTATTGTTATAAGGCAGGTTCTCCCAGATTTCTGGAGGCACATAATAAGGTGTTCCCACGTACGTGCACGCAAAGGCCATGGGACTGAAACCACAGACAGGCAAAGTGATTCCAAAGCTCTTCTGAAAGTGACTCTTCTGACCTCTGTCACCAAATAAGACAGATACATACCTGGAGAGAAGACGGGCAGAGCCAAAATCTCCCAATTTCACTTTTCCATTGTGGGTGAGGAAGACATTCTGCATGGAGAAGGAAGAACTTAGATTATGCCTTGCTCATGCCAGCATCAGGCAGCAGTTTCCAGAGCAGCTTTCAAGGCCTGGTGACGGACAGCTGGGTCCCAGAGAGAATGATACGGTAAAATAGCAAGGTCCCCTCTAAACACAGCTACACAACCCCCAGCCTGGGGATTCAGGATGAGAACTCTTCAGTCTCACATGCACAAGTCAAGTGGCATCAGGTCTGGCGAGTGGGAGCCTGTGTCAGGGTGACTTAACTGGCTGGTACAGGCGTTGACCACTTTCTGACTGAGAACATGAGAATTTGCTCGTGGTCATTAAAAGGGCTACATTCACACAGACTTCAAAAGAGATTTTTAACAAAGAGTATTCTACTTGGTTAGTAAAAATTCTAGGTCAAAGGCTGTAAGGTTTTACTTAGGAGGAATAAGTCCTTAATATCTACTGTATGTATAACCTGACATGGTGGCACACGTCTTCAATGGGAGGAAGTGGCAGATGGATCTCTTGGAGTTAGAGGTCAGTCTGATCTACATAGTGAATTCTAGGACAGTCCAGACTACATAATGAGGCCTTTCCTTTGCAGAACTGATACAATGTCACACCGCTGGCCCAATACTCACACTCACTGCTGAGGAAGCTGAGGAGGAATGGGAGAGGAGGAACAAGGTCCTGGACCACTCAGCATCATGCAGCAGCGGCGGTGCAAGGACCAGGACCAGGATGAAGATGAGGAGAAGCACAGTCGCAGAACTCCTAGTGAGCTTCGCATTCATGACCTGGAGGATGACCTGCCTTCCGATGGCAGCAGAGCCTCCAAGGCTAAGAAAAAGGCCCCGGTGGCCAAGGCAGGCAGGAAGAAGAAAAAGAAGAAGGGCTCAGATGATGAGGTTTTTGAGGACAGTGATGATGGGGACTTGGAGGGCCAGGAGGTAGACTACATGTCCGATGGCCCCAGCAGCTCTCCGGATGAGACAGAGGACAAGCCCAAAGTGCCCCCGCGGGAGGATGGCCCCAAGGGTGTGGATGAGAAGAGTAAGAGCAGTGAGGAGAGTGAGGTGAAGCCCCTCACCCCCAGGAGGACAAGGAAGAGGAAGAGAAGAAGGCCCGTACCCCACAAGAGAAGAAACGCAGGAAAGACAGCAGTGATGACTCAGACAGCTCAGAGGAGAGCGACATTGACAGTGAGACCTCCTCTGTGCTCTTCATGGTGAAGAAGAAGACACCCGCAAGAGGGTTCAGAAGCCATCAGGGGGAAGTTCAAAGGACACCAGTTGGCCCCATGACCTCAAAGGACCTGCTGAAGAAGTTCCAGACCAAGAAGACACGGCTGAGCCGAGAGCAGACAGCGAATGTGCTGGCACAGGTCCTCCAGCGTCTCAACCCTGAACACAAGATGATTGGTGATAAGATGCACTTCTCCCTCACAGTGATGCCAACAAAGAGAGCAGGCCCAGGGGGAAAAGTTTCATAAACTAAACTAAATAGAATGCCCCAGAAGGAGATCATAACCGGAAAAAAAGACAATGAAATAGTTTTCTTTGTTCCCTAGATCTCAAAATGTCTTATACTCACTTTGGACTTGATATCTCTGTGTAAAACACGTTTCTTGTGAATGTGATTTACTCCAAGACAGATTTGTATAAACCAATTAAGTATCTGTAAGAAAAATAGATAGGATGGGGGGGGAACTGGAAGTAAATATGATCAAAATATACTGTACACAACTCTAAAAGAATTAATAAAATATTTTAAAAGAAAAAATATACACCAGAAAGATGCAGTAACTAGCTGATCTTAACCCAAATTCTGAAGGACATCTAAGCCTTATTTTACCTGAATTTTCAAAGTGAATTCTGAACTCATTAAAATTATACAGTTCAACTAAAACTCAGTATAATCCAGAGAAATTCAGAAATCCGGTTCTCATGTTTTGTCATCTTACGTATGATCCAGATGTATATTTTAATAAAATGTCTACCATATTTTTTATTTTTGAACCAAATATAAATGTCTTTTTTTTTTTTTTTTTTTTTGGTGGGGGAGGAGGTGAGAAAGAGAGAGTATGGGTCTCAGACTGGCCTCAAACTTGCCATGTAGCTAAGGGTGACTTTGAACTACTGAGCCTTTTTCCTCTGCCTCCCAAATCCTGGGATTATAGGCATGCATCATTAAACTTAGCTTGTGTGGCGCTGGGGATGGAGCCCAGGACTGGGAATGTTAGGCAAAAGTTCTACCATTGACTACTGTCCATCTCTAAGTATTTATTTAATTTCCTTTCTTTCTTCCTTCTTCCTCTTTCTCTTCTTCCTCTTCCTCCTCCTCTCCTTAAAGACAGACTCTCACTATGTAACACTGGATGGTCTAGAACTGGATAGTCTAAAACTTGCCATATGGACCAGGCTGCCCTCCATTCACCTGCCTCCACCTTCTGAGAGCTGGGATTTAAGGCATGTGTGACCACTCCTGGCCTACCATTTACTTCATAAAAACGTCTTGCCCAGAAATGATGGTGCTCCTAAGCACTCCAGAGGCTAAGAAAGGATACTTCCAAGAATTTGAGACCAGACTGACCTACAACCTAGTTAGTACCAGGCCAGCCTGGAATGCAAGGCAGAGCCAAACAACCATTTCAGGAAGCCATAGTATGCTGGCTAATTTTATGTCAACTTGACACAGGCTGAAGTCATCTGAGGGGGGGACCCCATTTAAGAAAATGCTATGGACTGGGCTGTAGGCAAGCCTTTAAGGCATTTTCTTAATTACTTATTTAAGGGGGAGGCCCTATGCCATTGTGGGCGGTGCCATTCCTGGGCTGGTGGTCCTAGATTCTGTAGGAAAGCAGGCTGAGCAAAGCCATGAGGAGCAAGCCAGTAAGCAGCACCCCTCCATGGCCTCTGCATCAGCTCCTGTTTCCAGGTTCCTGTCCTGTTTGAGATCCTGTTCTGACTTCCTACAATGATGAACAGCTATTTGGAAATGGAAGCCAAATAAACCCTTTTCTCCCCAAGTTGTTTTTGGTTGTGGTGTCTCATCACAGCAATAGAAACTCTGACTGAGACACATAGCCTGAGGAAATCAATCAGGTGCCCTGACTCTGACTCTGAAACCAGCAGCTTCTTACTAGGCTAGTGACTGCAGACATCCATGTTTTAACCTTAGTTATTCAAGGCTCATGAGAAAATTCACTTCTGAACTTGGAAACCATGTAAGTCAGTTTCTTACCGTATCTTCAGGGAATAACTTTCCTTTTTGCTGTTTAATCCTCTGCATTAGATCTCCTCCGTCACAATACTCCATGACAATATACAGACACCCTTCGGCTAAAACAAACAGAAGACGCCTTCAGAAAGCCACAGTTGCTACACTATAAATTCGGGTATATTTAGGGGGATTCATTTACCTTCAAATGACTCCTTAAAGGCAACAATATTGGGGTGCTTCATTTTGGCGAGCAGAACAGCCTCTTTCCTAGAATTCTGTGTATCAGAGAAAGACTGGGGTGGGGGAAACCTTAATTATAAATCCAATACAGTTTAAAGCGAGTATTTTGTATAGCTTTATATGAGACTTTAATGCTACGTGCAAGTTTGCAAATCTACTTCTGCTCAAGGTTTCAAACACTAAAAGTATGTGGTGGTGCTTTTTTGATGATGGTTATTTTGCATGCTGGGCTGACCTCTCATTGGTACATACTTTTTTTTTCTTACACATACCAAATACAAACTAACTTTTACATTTTTCATATGTACTTTTCCGGGTGAAGTAGCTCCTCAGTAAAGTTCCTCCCCAGCAATGCTCACAGTCAGGGGTTTAATCCCCACCACCACCAAAACCAAAACCAAACTAGCCTGAGCATCAGCTGACTAGGATAGCCAGTGTTCTATTGAAAACACTGTATCCTCAAAGAAAAGCAAAGCTTTCGTGTCACTAGGTTGGCTACAAGCATCCTTTCCTTAGTTCCTCAGTCCAGATGGACAAAGACAGATGCAAATTAAGTTTCCCAAACTACTTACTCAAAACATATTCTACAAGGATGAAATTCTAAATGACCTATAATCAAGAAACTACTATGGTGCCTGAGGTCCTGGTTTAAATCCTCAGGGGTGACAAAGGAGGAAGAAAGGAAGAAGGAAGAAGGATGAAGGGAAGAAGGGAATGAGAAGGAAGGGGAGGAAAGAGGGAGAAACTCAAGGATTCTCAGACCAGCAGCGTCAGCATCAAGTGTGAACATGCTGAATATGACTCGCAACCTAGCCAGACCTACATGGAAGTAGACCAGCATACTGTTTCAGCAAGCCTTTCACGGGATTGTGACGCCCCCTTTAGTTTGAAATCAAGACTTCAGTGGGAGCCAGGGGTGGTGGCACACACCCGTAATCCTATCACTTGGAAGGCTGAGGCGGGATGTCTCAAAGGATTAATATTTTTAAAGAGGAAGCAGTGGGAAAATGTCTAGTATTTTTAAAAGCTTGATCACAATATTAAGCAGTGCTCACGGCATGGCTTCTTACACAGGACAATGATGATACACATTAACAAGCAATCCACACGGGAAAACAGACCTTCTGAGCAGGTTCCCTAGGAACCAACCGACGCTCTGTATTTTACCTCTGCTCTTCACTACATTTTATCACAGGCATTGTACCTGACCACTTTCAGCAGGCTGTTCACAATGCCGCTATACAACCGTTACCACGGAGATTAGCCAGGACATTTTGAGTACTTCTCTGTTAATTTTACCAGCCTAAAACCCACATAAAATACATCAAGCTCACGAATACGTAAAGCTCACGAATAAACTGATTACATGTTTACAGGAAGGGTAAATGGCACATCAGAGCCCAAGACCCTTCTCTCTATATACATTAACGCTTACCTTGGGCAGTCTTATTTCCTTCATGGCGAATGTCTGATTGCTGCTTTCCTGCAGAACCAAAAGAGCCCTGCCGAAGGAGCCCTGGCCAATCACTCTCAGGACTGTGTAGTTGTCCATGCCGGGCAGCCAGAGCTGGCCTCCACTCCTACAGCGTCTGCTGGCTCTCCCAAACTATATTAAAAAGACAGAATCATTTGGGAATTCACTCTTAGATGCAGACTTAATTCAAACGTAGCTACACTCACCTTTTAAATCCTGTTGAAAAGCCACGCTTAAAATGTAATTTGCCAAAACAAGGTCTTTCAGGAATGAAGTTAGGGAACATCGCTGATGTTTTTAAAAAGCTTAAAATGTGTAGGTTCAGGCATTTGTGTACTGAGGTAATGTTCTGGTGAAGTGTCCCCTTTCCTGAAGTTTGGGGAGTGAAGAAAAAAAATAAGAAGTATGTGTGTTGTGTTTTAGCAGTGATTTTTAAAAATCTAATCTTATGTCCAAAAACACATGTCTGCCAGCGTCTTAAAAGACACCATCGTGTAAATTACCAATAAAGTTTGACATATGCAAACATAACAAAATCCCCTGCACAGTGAGCATATTCCATATGGACAGCAGTCACAGGAACGAGAGGCCTTGGTGTCATTTATTCATTTGCTTATTTATTCATTTGCTTATTTATTTATTTATTTATTTATTTATTTATTGCATGAAGGTGTGGGTGGAGAGAAGACACACTCCATTTTGGACCCATTGAGCTGGAGTTACTTAGGACTCAAAATGGATATTTAAACACAGTCTGACTTCAGAGTCTCCCCCACAAGAGCAGCAGGATTTTTAATACACTTTTTCTGGCACATAAGCTACACAAGAAGCAATTACACAAGAAGCACAATCTTCGAGAAGGCTCGAGGTAGCTAACGTGTTAGAGCCCCTGGACTACACGGTGGGGTAGAAGTTGTGGGAGTGCGCTACACTTAGAAGTGGTCACAGGAAAAATACTGGCATGGATCGCCTTGATTTTTTTTTTTCACAAAGCTAAATTGTGTTTTTACTTTGTTTGTTTAAACCACTCACGAGTTGTACAACGTAGAGCACAAAACATAATGCAAACACCGCGGATCAAACCCTCCCGGGGCCTGAAAAACTTCTAGTCCGTAGCTGGGGTCATAGCTGGGGTCGGGTGGTGAACATTTGTAATATTAGCACTTAAGAGACAGAGGCAAGATGACTGCCACGGGTTCCAGGCCAGCCAGGGGTTCATGGTGAGACACTGTCTCAAAAACTAACTAAACAAACTATGCCTTCCAGTTTGCTTTTCCCGTCTATCACAGGGTTACCAGGAGACTACAGCAATAAATCCTCAATATAACCAAATCCAAAGCATTGTTTCCAGAAGTGAGGTATTTGAACATACCCAGACACAAGTAACAGACCTATGACACTCGGGCGGCAGAAGATGGTGAATCATAGCCAGGAACCACTGCTAAGTCCAAAGTCAACTCGTTCACACTCCGAGTTCCAGGCCAGCCAGAGCTACAGAGAGGGCCTTGTCCTCCTCTCCCTGTACCCCCGCCCCACCCCCCACCTCCCCAAAAAACCTAGAAGAAAACAACCAAGCCCTTCACACTGACACTTTGTCTTAGTGACATCTGATCTCAATTGCTTTTTTTTTTTCCTGTTTCTGGTGCTTAAGGACTTTTACCTATGCTATCGAAAATGACGACTGCTGAGCAACCACGCTTTCCTTGGCTGAAAGCTCAGGTTTGTACTTTTATTCTCCATGCGCCTAATATTCAGTATCACACCCACAAACCCAGGCCTTATTACACTGGCTGTGGGGAAAGCAGATAGGTTCCTTCCAATGTTTATCAACAAATACGCCTTTAATAAAAATAAATACATCTTTTTAAAAAAGAGCCTAAAGTGATTTGCAAGTGCCCAGAAGCGGGGTCAGAGTCACTGTCCAGGCTTAGGCAGCGATCCCAGGACACACACCCCGGAGAGCCCACCCTTCCCTCCCAGAACACCCATCCTCCCGCAGGGGCTCCGCTGCAGCAGCGCTAGCAGGTCTCCAGCGCGCATGCGCGCCCCGAGCTCCGCGACCCTGGCGCACAGCCGGCGGCGGCTGAGTGCGGGGCACACATTTCTCCGTCGCCCCGCATGGGCGTGCAACAACCGGCGCCTTAGGGCCCCGCCAAGAGATCCCACCGGCTTCTCTCTCCGCGACGGCCAGCCCGCACGGCTCTCCTCACCCACCTCCCAGCAGTGCGCATCGCTTCTTCGCTACGCCCCGGGGCCGGCACTGGGCGGGGCGGGGGCGGGGCCTGGGACGTGGGCGGGGCGTGCCCCTAGTTGTGGGCGGAGGAAACTGTTGCGGTCTGGCCCTAGGCGCTGTTCTCTGAGTAGCCAATCTCTAAAGAGCAGTTTTAAAGCTATTTTGCCACCTTGCAGTAGAATATTGCTAACGCCCAGTCATTTGGATTACTGCTCCAGATTAGGCGGACAGACCACAACCATAAATTTCATAGGGACAACACTGCTAGCATTTACAGTAGGACCCTGGAAAAAATGAAAAACAAAATAATGCATCCCCCAGGAAATCCACATCCCATTCTGAAATGTGTATTTCTTCCCTGAAATAGCAAAAAGTCATTAAGACTCTAGTTGTACCGGGACGTGGTGGTGGTACATGTCTGCAATCCCAGTACTCAGAAGGCCAAAGCAGGAAGATCCAGAACTGGACGCCAGTTTAAATCTACAGAGGAAGTTCCGGGTAGGCGAGCCAGGGCTATGCCTCAAGTGTTAGATTTAGGGGTGCAGAATAAAGGAACAAAAGGCAGGAATGAGACCGAAATCTGACCTCAACTGACGAGTATGTGTTTATTAGTGCAAAAAGGGGCATCGACCTTCAGGAGG